TCCATTACTTCTTTGTGACCTGCAAAAGCCGCCACGTGAAGAGCTGACATTCCAGATTTGTCCAACATGTAAGAAGCAGAGACATCGTCTTTCTCCAACAGTAGTTTGGTTGCTTCAAGGTTCCCTTTTAATGCTGCGTAGTGTAAGGGAGTCCATCCAATTGCATCAGCTTCTTTAATTGCATCCCCATTTTTGTGGATCATAAGCTCCAAAGTTTCTAGCATGCATAATAAATATTAAAATATAGTTAGATAGCTTACATGGACTTCAATTAAAATATCGTAAAGAAGATATACATACGTGGATTATATGTTCGATTTTAGAAAACGCGTATTTTTTTTCATGTCTTAGACAAATATACGAAAAACAAAATATTTTATAAAGCACATAGTTTATACATAATCAACCACCAACAATTGATATTATATCAAAATAAAGCATATAGATAAGGTCACTAGTCTTACTTATGGCTAATTCACTTTTGTGAGTTACCACGGCATGCAAAGCTGTGACACCATTGACACCTTGGAAAGAAGGACAGTGCTTTAAAATCATATGGGCAGTCTGCATATAGTCCTTAGACGTAGCCAAGAACAACGGCGACTCGTTCACCATGTTAGTTAAACAAGTCAATTCAGGATTGGCTTTGATTAGTAAGCGGGCCACTCTTTGGTTGCCATACCGGAGAGCAACATGCAATGCTGTCTCCTTTTCCATATTAGTCCTTTCGAGTAACTCTTTATGAGCTTCGCCGCCGCTTTCCAAATCGGCTCCTCCAGTGGGCGGCGGCTTCTTTGCATGTTCAATAAGGAACTCTACGATCTTAACGGAGCCAACTCTGGCCGCAACATGCAGGGGAGTGTTACCCTTGTTGTTAGCGGCCCAAAACAGTGGACGACATTGATGATCATCAAGTAAGGTGTCTTCGAAGAAAGCGATTTGCTTGAATTCAGCAGCAATGTGGAGAACATTGTTGCCTTTAGGCGTTTTCTGAAGAAAAAATCCAGTTACTATTTTCAATGAACCAACATCACCCGAGCTGGCTGCCTCATACACAGAAGGATCCATTTCAACCCTTTTTTCTGCACTCAACTTTCTCTAATGCTCTGTGAATGACTTAATTAGTGTTGATCCTCCATGTCTACTTATATAAGAAGCGATGATGACACATTCAGTGCCAATTGCCTGTGAATAAAACAAATATCACACGCGCAAAAAATAACAAGTTCGTGTCATTTGCCTTTTTTATATTGAGTCCCCTATACACGCATGCAGGTTTCGTGACTTGGTCATCACAGGACCTCGTTGCTAGCCTACACGTACATGTTGTACGGAGATTCAAAGATGACCAAGTCTTTAAATTGGCAACTAGCTTCTTGGGATGATTTTTTATTTTTATTTTTTTGTTCTCCCGAGAGCCCGAAGCAGGGACGGATTCAGGATTTCAAACTTGACTGGGCTAAATTTATTTTACATATAAACATACTAAGTAGATAGAAAACTCGATAGTACGATGTAATTTCATTGATATCAAAAGATTAATAATACATCTACTCAAGGGGGGGACATATAATATTTGGATGATCCGACATTATAAAGTTAAAGTTTAACTTATTAGATAAGCAAGAACACCAAAATCAATGACAAATCCTATTTGATAATTCATAACTCATAAACTAAAACTGATAAGCTCTAATTGTAGATCCCTAATTGATAAATAAATCATAAGTCTCAATTGCAAATCTGTAATTGATACTAAATAAAATCCAAAAAAATTCTCAAATTTCAACATCAACAAATTGAGAGAAGCTTACCGTACCTAACAAATATAGGAGCTTGGTTCGCTTCTTCAATTAAGCCTTGTGGATTAGAAAGTCCATTGTGGATTAATGAATTGGAATTGGATCAACTAGGAGTCCATTTTCTCTCCTCATATGTAGGAGCTCCTAGAGGTCTCCCTATTTTAAGAGCTGGATATATAGGGAGTATAGTTAGAGGTGAGTTTTATCATTTCCTCCCTTAGGCCCCTTTTGATTCATGGGAAATGAGGCTTGGGGATGGGAAATCAATTGATTTCCCATGTTTGGTAAGTCCAGGCATGAGAAATCGTTGCCTTGCACATAGGAAATTAGGGGGAAAGTGAAGCCCTTCTTCCCCACCCGGCTTGGGTTTTGTTTTACTCCTCATGGGAAAGTTTGGAAAAATGAGTCAACATTAAATACATATTTTTCATGACCATATTATCCTTATTAACAATTTAGAATTACAATATAGCATTAAATGCATTCTTTTTTTTTTAATAATTTGATTCCATATGTGTATAATTGAAAATTTAAACAAACTTTGTTTTACATTCCTACACGAACCAAATATGTGAAAGGAAATAAAGTGGTATTTTTTTTATTACTTTCCCAGGATTACCAAACATAGAAAATGCATGTCCATTTCCCATCCCTTGGGAAATGGCATGGGAAGTGATTTATCCTTAAATTCATTATGTGAACCAAACAAGGCCTAAAGTTTATCTAAGGAGATGGTTTAAGGAGTCAATTGTGGATCAAGGAATTGGAATTGGATCAACTACTCCCTTAGTTAATCCCATACTTCCCCTAACGGATCCATGCATGATTTTGAGTGTAATTGATTACAGATTTTAACGTGGAACTCACATAATTTTTTATTTTGTGTATTTGATTATGGATTTTAATGCAAGGAAAGTGAGAATTTGAACTCACTTATGCGTTAATAAACACAAGAGAAGTAGGAATTAGAATAATTTAAACACCCATTCTTGATTAGTACATGTCATTAAAGACTTAAACCACATGGAACAATAAACAAATAGATTTTTTTTTTTATTTTTTTTAACATTGGAGGAAAGAAACTTCACTGAGATTCAATTCTAAGTGCAATGGGGGGCGAGGGGGAATCCACCACCACTGTGGTGGGAACCTATTGCCAACAAATAGATTTTTGTAATTAAGTCAATTACACCAAAACCAGCAACCAAGTATACAGACTCGGTTTGGTTTTTGGATGCATCATATCAAAATCAGAAGATTCCAATTCCAATTCGAAAAGTTTCGGAAGGAAGATTATCTTCCAATTCCATTTTGAAAAATTTTGGAATTACATCAATTTCGATATGGAAAAAAATTTCGGAACTTAAATGTTTCGATTGGAAAGTAGTTCAAAATTTTAAACATGCCCAACTATTTGAAATGTTAAAATTGGCTCAAAATTGAAAACACATACCCAAAGCCCGGAAAACTATTAATATGCTAGTACTTAGATGTTGTTATTATATTTATGAAAAATAAATAAAACTGATCTATGTTTATTTGGTCATTAATTCATATTTAGTTGAACATGGAGTTAGTCATGTAGTCTAAGCTTGAAACTCTAATATATTTTGAAATTCTGAATTTTTAGAATTTTTAGTTACATTCCAATTCCAATCCAATTCTTTTTGGAATTTTCTGATTTTGGAACTTTTTTTTTATAGTCAAAACTATAGGAGAGGGGGATTTATTGCACAGACACACAACTACGATGTCGTGAGGATTCGAACATGAGATCTTTGATCTACAAATCAATGTCATTTTCTATTGGGTTAGACCCCGTTTGTAGATGTTGATTCTAAGTTAAATTCAGTATTAAATTAGTCTTTTTTAAAGTACACATTAATTATGATATACACTTTCCAATGGAGTACTAGTTCAGCAATGGTAGAGCTGTTGGCATGCATATTAGTGGACTGTGGTGCGGTTCCTCTATGACATTCTGTGTGTGTGCGCGAATGCTCCGCTCCCCCTTCCTAATTGTAGAAAAAAAAAATTGTGAATATAATTTATAAATTTAATTGGCACCTAATCAAATAATTACCAAAATTTATCACTTGCTAAGTTCCCCTTCATTGTCGTCATCCTTATTCGTGAACTTGGTTTTGAAGAACCTTGACTTTCTTTGGAATATTCTTGGACTTGGTTTTGAAGAACCACTTGTTTTTCTTTGAATAGAACATCGGTACTTCTATCGAAATGTATAACAATTAAATAAAAAACTCATCTTATTAAATAATGATAATCTATATTCCCAGTGGTTTTGACCGAACTATTCTTTTTTTTGTCCAAGATCATTATCTATATATATAAAGCAAAAGGTAGAGAATGGTGAAACATTCAAAATATCATAAAATATCTTGATTAATTCAAACATTAAGAATTGAATTTATTAATTAAACGAGGATAATATGATAAATTCATTTTTTTTTATTTAAAAAAAATTAAAATTAAAAACAAAATCAAATAATAGGTCTTACTTTTATGAAACATAATTACCCATGTTATCTTTTCTTAATTCTAAAAATAAAATAAAAAATAAAAAAGAAAACCAATTGGCACATGCATGAGCATGTGTGTATTATTTATCCAAGAACTACCACAAAGAATGGTAACGCTATTTCTGAAATCAAATTCCACTACTTTTTTTAATCAATATATACTAGCCCTTTGGCACATGCTCACGCATGTGCCAATTGGTTTTCTTTTTTTCTTTTTATTTTATTTTAAAAATTAAGAAAACATATTATGGGTAGTTATATTCCATAAAAGTACGACCTATTATTTGATTTTGTTTTTAATTTTAATTTTTTTTTATATTAAAAAAAGTGAATTTACTATATTATCATCATTTAATTAATAATTTCAATTCTTAATGTTTGCATTAACCAAAGATATTTTCTGGTATTTTGAATGTTTCACTATTCTCTGCCTTTTACTTTATATATATAGATATACCACTACTTTTGAGCCAATTCGAATAAAGTTAACACTAAAAAAAGATATGATCTTCTTGTGAGTGGCACGTTGGAAAACTGCACGGAACCAAAGGCAGATGGATCCAAGGCCCTAAACAAAAAGGCCTATCAAAACTAAGCCCCATCAAAATGGGGGTGTCACGAACCATTTGCGGCTAGTCATACAGGCACAATTCTAAGCTTAAAGACTATAGACAAGCATATATACCCACAAATTAAGCACACCAAAATGCCCACCGGACTGTTTGGGCAGCACTAGAAGCATGCCAGAAGCAAAAGCTACGAGCATTCCTCCAATTGAATACTGAATGAGAATTGAAGGTGCAGCTACAAGAACACCTGACACAGTTGCCACCATGAAATGATGAAACACCACGAGGATTGACAAGAAGAAGGAGAAGGCATCAAATAGCAAGAACACTTGGAATGATGCCTCTCCGTACAACACCGCCGTGCCGTCGCTTTTAAGTCCTCCCGGCATGGTGAAAGCTGCGGCAAATGTGACGGTTGCAATAAGCATTGCTACTACTAGATTGGTATCGAATACTTTTGAGGCCTCCTCTGAAGAAGTAGCTTCCAACTTTTCTATATTTTTTCCTATAATGGCTGATGTGGTTGGTGTATCTTTGTGCTTTGGAGATTCCAAATTCATGAAATCATGGGAAATTTGATGTTGGAAAAATGGCACTCCAATGGACTTCCCCAGGTGACTTACAAGTTGAATACGAATGAGATCCTAAAACATAGAAGTAAAACCATGAAACACGGTCAAAGAATAATGCTAGTCACTAGTCACCAAATTTGTTCATCAAAAGTCATTAGGTGAATAAATTTGGCGAACAAATTTTGTATTCCTAGCAGTACTTGTGTTTAAATTCCTTAAATGTATGAAAATTTAAATTCCTAGCAGTACTGTGTATTTTTATTCAAATAAACAGGAAAAAAAAAATTGCTATGCGTAAGAAAAGAATAAAGATGAGTTGTGATGTACTTTTGATAAATGATCTGGTCTGGTCTTATAATTTTTCCTTTTGATAAATGAGACCCCATAACCAAATAACAAATTAGAGAGCAAAAGTACCTTAGATCAATTTATTATGTTGGATTCTATGCTGTTTTTGTTACGTAAAATCAACAAAGAATGTATTTAGGCTACCTTGGTTCTGAGTTCAAATCTTACAAACAGTCGCAGTTGTGGAATCAAAATCAAAACAACCAAGCAACAAAAGTTACCTTGAGCCTTTTTGCTTGTACAAGTTATTGCCGTCAGTGCCGTGTGCAAAGCTGTAACACCATTGATCCCTGGAAAGGACACATTGATGATGGACACTCATTCAAAATAGACTCTCTTGTCTTCTCTACGTATCTTCTAGTCTCTAGTATGCTGCTTATACACTTATTGATATCAAACAGAGTATACCGAATATGGTTGGATGGGTAGACAATGCAGAAGGGTTTCCATTTTATTTACTTCTTTCTTTATCAATTAAACAATGCCCTGGCATTCTAATAAAGCAAAGCATCCAATGATCTGGTTTTATATTATTTATTTTGATAAATGAGACCCAGAGAAACAAGTAACGAATAGCTGAGCAAAACAAGTATTTTCGATTAATTTATTATTTCGAATATTATGTTGTTTTGTACGGTAAAATCAACAGAGAACAAATTAATAAAAAGAAGGAGAAAGAGGATAATGTTCTACCAAGACTCAATTCTTCATCAATGGAACTTCAGGACATCTTTATCAACAAAACAGTTCCTGGTATTTTAACAAGTTTAGCCACTCTCATTTTAACGACAAGAAAACAAAAGAAATATCTATGCACCAAAACTTCTTTTTGTAAAAGAATTTTGATTAAGTGTCACAAGAAAGCGCATACCATTTGACATTTCCAAACTTAATTTGTAATTCTGTACATTAGTAGATGCATCAAGATGATCAAATATAAGAAATAAACAAATAATTAGTATCGTCCAAAATAATCCACCTTTCTATCTCCCTCTCTCTCCCCATGCCTGCAGGCTACAAGAATATAACCTCTATGGTGACCATAGCTGAACAAATTACATATACATCATCTTCAGCTTTTAATTGCAGTTCTCCCTGCTGTACCAATCATATTCCATCCCCTCTCTTTTTCCCTTTGACTATTATTCTTCTGACTTTCTTTGGTTCCAGCTCTTCTACCATTTCCTAGTAACACTCTGTGTGCCAACCTCCCTCGACTTCCTATCGAGACCCTTACCTTCTCCATCCCTACATTCACACCTTTTCTCATGTGTGGTGGCATTGGAGATTTTATCTGAGTTCTCTTTTGGAGGCTTCGTCTCAGTATGCTGTTTAGCTTCTTGCATCCATTTCTGATTACTTTAGGACTGCTACAAGGTGTCTGTTCAGGCAAGCAGTCAGTCTCAGACACATCTGCATCAACTTTCTTATCAGCATCGTATGCTATTGGTGCCAATGGTAATACATGCGGTGGGGATTGGACACGGTATGGTACACTTGGGAGTGGGATTAGAGAGTTGCGCCTTGGAGCAGAGGTTGCTGGAATCCGCTGAAATATTGGACAAATAGATGCCCTTCCAGTTTTTTTTGGGACAAGAAATTGTTCAGCCATCTCAGGGTTGTTTTCTTTCTCTGTTGGATCAATATGCTTGACAAAACCATCCATTGTATGAAGTGGTACTAGGGGTTTGTTGTTGGTCTTCTCCATTAGTGGTTGAATAGGGTTTACTTGGTCTTTTCCCAATGTAATGGCTGCTAAAGGTCGGTTTGTAAGAGGTGGCCTTGTTAGTGCGGTAGTTTGCTCCTCTTGTTGATGTTTCATTTGCTGCTGGTGCTGCTCAGCTATCTTCATGTCCACATGCTGACGTGCTAGCTTTCTCTCAATTAAAAGTTGTGATTCCAATTCTTTTACCTGCAAAATGAACTAGATTAGTACCTATAATTCTGTTACTTGTATGTATACAAAAGCTATAAATAAATAAAATACACTTGCTATATAATACCTTGTCTTGCAGGTTTTTGTTTTTCAGGTCTCTCTCTTTTATCTTCAATTCCAATCCATGGACTGTTTCCTCCATCTTCCGGATCTGTACATCTTTGCTCTTAACATCTAGCTTGGTTTTCTCAAACTAGCAAATAAGATTCGAGATTGTTAGAAATGTAATAGATTAAGCATTCAACCACAGAATAAAAACAAAACATAAGGTTAAACAAAAATGGGAATCTGCAGTTGAGTCAAGCAAAGAATTGTACCATCTGTTTGTATCTCAAAAGTTCAAAAGTGTCCAGTTGTCTCTTTGCTGGACCCAACTCTATCCCTCTCACTCTACTTGCAAAGTTCAGTGAGCAAAGGGTCTCACTCAAATCGTTTTCATTAGGATTTATCTGAACAAACATGAGTGTCTTCGAGTCTCCTCCTAAAACAAGGAAACATATGCATTAGTTTTACATTTTTGTGTCTGATAAACTAAGATATCTTGGACCAAAAAAAGTATATATATCAGAAGTTTAATTTCATCTCAAGAAAATGGAGAAAAATAAATGTGAAGTTGGAACATTAAACAACTCAGTTAGAATTGTTGATTCATCTTTGACTTCTTCTGTGATCCCATTGAAGTACCTAGAGAGTCTTGAAGCAAGTGGGTAAGCTTAGAGTTCCTGCACATAAGCATAATTTAGTAAAAGAAAGTTATAGCTCGATAAGGTGGCCAGTTTGCACATTTAGAGTATTCAAACAAAGGGCTAATTGTTACTTATATAACCTGAAAGGTATGTGTGAGCTTTTAGTTGCAAGTGAAGATATGACATCACCAAGGGCCGATAGAGATCTATTTATATTTTGAGTTTCCTTCAGTCGTTCTCCTTGCACTTCTGTCTTTGCTACACGTTCACTCCCTGCTAGATCCACCAACCAAAGCTTGCTTCTTGTGCATTCGCCATTCAACAAATTCTCCCCCTTCACCATTACACAGTGTATGCTGCATTAAGGAAAAAACCACTCTAACATTTAGCAGTCTATCTTTAGACGACATCCTGTTTGATGAAAATTAAAACAAATTTGACTGTAACCAAGATAAACCGACCAGTGCGATCGGCTGCTATGCTCATTGGCATTGGTTGAGCCAACAGCCCTTGCATTACTGCCAGTTTGCAGAACTTCCCAGACTTCACTCATGTTGTTTACCTGTGCCTCAACCAGTCCTGGAACATGATGTATCCCTTCGCTGACTTGCCTTATTTCAAGCCTACAAAATCATTGCAATACTGTGAGATGCTATAATCTTGAATAATCATAACTTCCCATCCTTCACACTTGTGAAAGACATGTGGAACTGCAAGGGAATCCGACATATTGGTGAATCATCAGAAGTGAAAAAATATCAACAAGTAGGAGCAAAGATGGATATGGAAACTTAACTATGCAGTTCACATTTTGAGAGAATGAATGTTAAGAAATGGTTAAGATGTGGAAAATGAGAGCCTATACTGCTATTCTAAGTGCCAACTAAATGAGTGGAAACTTATGAAAATAAAGTACGTCTAATTATGACAAATGACTTCCCATCTATACATGAAGTTAAAAGAAACCGCAAATCAAGAAATGTACAGTAATATAAGGATGTTTCATCAGATTAAGTTGGAAGGAGAAAAAATAAGAGAGATGGTTTAAGTATCTCTTCAACCTTTTGGAAGCTGCTCCTGGCTGATTCCCTGAAACTAGTAAATCTCGTATTTGTTCGTTGTAGACTTCTAACACACTAACAGATACATCATATCGATATAACTTTTCTCGCTCTCTAATCGTACGAAACAATTCCTCAAGAGTCCTAAAATTGACTCCCCGAGCTTCTTCTGTGCCCTCCATTGTAAAAGTTTTTCCACTTCCAGTCTGCCCATATGCAAAGATGCAGACATTGTACCCATCTAGAACTGAGCTTGCAAATGGAGCTGTGTCTTCGAAAACATCAGCTAAATAGGACAAAGAGGATACATATTACTGTAATGAGTCTTTGTACTTCAAATGATATACAAGACAAACAAAATAAAAAACTCTTATATAACTGTTTACAAACCTTGGTCTGCTTGAGGGCCAAATACAGCATCAAACTTGAAGGTCCTTCTAGTGGCCCCATTTGATTTAATATTGAGCTCACCATCTTTAGCAGATTCAAAATCAATAGCCATTGAAGCTCCTGCTGCAACTTCCTCAGTGTTTAGAGGCCTGCACCTGCAAAAGACCCTTATGTTTCCTACAAGCAAACAAAATAAATGTCAGAAACCCACTTCAATCTCATACCCGCTTGGACCTCTCTTAGTCAAAAATAGCATACTCCTAACCTTTCAACTCTAACACCTTGTTGTAGAGTTCTTTCCGTTCTTTGGCCCCTTCAATAAACTTAGTCTTCAAATCTTTATGCAAATTTACTTGCTGATTTACTATTGGAAAAAAAATAAAAATAAATTAGCAAGAACCAGAAAGAGCAAAACAAATATCGTATCTCTAAATAAAAACACATGGCATGTACTTACAAGTGGACTGAATAGTAGACCTTACTTCATTCATATCTTCAATGCATTTCTTATATGCCAATGCCTCCTCTGATAGCTTGATGTGGTCCATTTTCATAATCTGTTGAATGAAACTTTTTAAAACACTGTAATCATATATAGTGTAATCAAAAGGCACCTTTGTATTTTTATTTTTACAACTTAATACCTTAAGTTTTCTTGTCAAATCTCTCAATGATGAGAACCACCTGCTCTTCTCTTTCACTTGTCCCTCGATGGCAAAAGCTGCAACAGACAAGCATCAATGTACCATGTTTACAGATGGTTCAAATGGTTAACAGGCACAGGACATTATTACCATACCCAAAGATCCAACATGCATAGACTTGCGCATAAGTTCGTTTTGGAGTTCCTTCAGAGACTTCCAAGCTTCTTGGCACTCTTTACTCTTGGATTTGTCTTGCTTTTTAAGCTCCTCCAATGCATTCCTCATCTCTTGTAATTCTTTTTTCTGTTTCTCATACCCTATTAGCAGCTTATGATAGTCTCCTTCAACGTTGGCATTGCCATTATCCTGCAATGACATAATTTGCACAAAATATCAAAGTCTATCCTATTTTTCCATCTGAATAATATTGAACCTGAGAGGGATTACAAGAAGTTTTACTTCAGGTGATTTGCAGTTTTCCATTTGAGAATTGCCACCCAGGAAATCATCTGTGCAACCTCCATTGTTGCTTATATCAGGAAGGGAACCTTCCTTCAACTTGTCCTCAATGACAGAAGGCGGAAGAAGCTCGAATGAAGCTTCAGGAGACAAATCTTCTTTAAAAGTTTGGCACAATGTGTTTGAGAACTTTACAGTTGGAGTTTTATGGGTATCTGTAACTTGAGACTCGTTGATTCCGTTCTCGAAAGAGAGCTCGATAGAAGAATCCATCTTCTGATGGAATTTACCATCCAAGAACTCAGGGGAATCTCCATAGCTGTTTTGGGGTATATCGGGTGACCCAGAACAGATCACCAAATCAGGAGAGGTAAGTGAAAATCCTACCATGGACCGGCCTGAAATGTATCATAAATAAATCAAAACTCTTGAAAATCTTGAAGTCAAATCCAAGATTTTTGCCCAATCTTTTTTTCACAGAAAAGGAAAGACTAGTCTAATTTACCATCAAGACCGTCATTTGCCACTGGGTCACTGAACTTTGGTGTACTAATGACTTCTGTGCATTGATAAATTTCCACAGAACAATCTACACCCATGAAAAATCAAAAGATCAAATTTATCTTCCACTGTTATGATCTGTCCTAGATTCGAATTGGCTCCATGTTCTTGACTAAATTACAGTTAAAATAGATCCATTACACAAGTAGACATATAATGCAATTCTCCCAATTGGGATTTAGAGAACAAAAATAAAAAGCTTACTGAGAAACCAAAAAGAACTAAAAGGAAATTTATTTATTTTTTTCATGAAATTACCTTCATTTGCATTGGCATAAGAAGAAGAATCAGGATCCACCATTGTCAAGCGTTGCAATTGCGAGCAAAGCGAAGTGTCTGCCAAAGTAGAAGAAGGGTATCAAGAAATTAGAGAAGCCATGAAAATAAAATCTTGGGCAGTTGTGTATGCTGAAGAAAATGGAGTTCAGAAGTGGGTTTCAAACTTACAGTCAGAATGAGAGTTGGCAGTGGAAAAGGAGCTGTTTTGCTGCGAAGGAACGTCAGTGAGGAGAAGAGGGTCGTGCTCATGCTCGAATAAAGAATGGCATTGCTTATGCTGCTCCTCCTCCATTGGTAAAACGACAATTGTACTAAATACACTGTTTTTGAATTCAAGTAATCAAAGACTGTGATGATGACGATGGCAATCTCTTTATTGCGCAAAAGAAAGAGAACCCAAAAAGGAAGAAGTGCTTTTGAATCTTCACAGAGAAAGAAAGGCGTTATTTTCGTTGGCGCATTCAATCTCCGTTATTCTTTGGAGGCAACAGACCGTTGGCCTTTTTTCGAATTTTGAAATTTCTTGACCGGGTGCACAAGCCAAGTGAGGCTGCCACGTGGTACCTGTTAATCTTTCCTCGCGTGCTGCTGAGTGGCCTTTTTCCCCTTGTATTTGTTTTTGGGCTAAACCAGATAGATTTGTGATTCTTTGGTTCTTTGTAATTTGGCTTGATTTCCACTTGTGAATCTTTATCTATGTAATTTGATTTATTTACAATTTAACACTTGAATCTTTATTTTTCTTTTACTGTCGTGTCAACATGTGTGGATTTTTAGGCCTTATGGTTCTACTCCACCCGTCGCCCGTCTCCAGCGCCGTGGGCCTGGCTCTGCAAATACAGTTACAAATCATTGGACCTGAAATTGAGATCAGATGATGCATCCAGGGCAGAGCATCGTAAAGAATTTTGTAACTTTTTTCTCAAATTTCATGTATCTGTTACAAGTGCTCTCCCCCCAACATTAAAACTATAAGGAACTTGAATGAATGTCCCTCCCCTCTTTACAAAACAAAGCTGAAAGCTACAATGTATAAAATTATATACAGTGTAATAGCATACAACAAAAGGGTACATTCATCTTGCATAGATCATTAGCACCCCACACTCAAAATAAATGCACGTGTGGGGTACTAACCGATGCAAACCTGCTGAGGACTGTCTTGGCACTGATCAGACAACAGTGGTGGTGTGCCGGATTGAGGTCATCATATTTTGCTTCCATCAAAACATGCACATAAGCCAATTCTGTGACTTCGCATCTTTCTACAATTGAATTCCCGCTCCTTCCACTGCAGCCGCCATTGAAGCGGACGCCTCTTCAAGGGTCCGCTTCTTTTGGACTGTGTTGAAGGCCTCAAGAATATCTCCCTCCTCCCAATCGTCATAGTCTTCCACCCCAATTCCACACTCTAGTCCAGCATTTACCTAGCCAAGAGAATAATATACAGCTTATTGCAAACGTAAGACATATTAAAGTAATGCCACTACCAAAAGAATCCTGAACACGTGATCACCACAAAAGCTTGATGTCAATTTAAATGAATGCAAAAACAAAAACAAAAATAATAATAAAGCGAAATCCTTTGTCAAAGTTGAAGATTGACATTGAAACATTAATTGTTCCAGAAATCGGATTAGAGGCATATATCTACACACAAAAGCTTCTATCATACTTTCAGTGAAAATAAATCTTGCTACGCCTAACTGCAGTGTAGAAACTGAATAGTCAGTATGTAAATTGATCAAAATTAATATTTAGTGTTTGTGAACTCAGCCCTTCATCCCACAGTGGAAAGGCACACGCACCTACAACTTCTTTGTCATGTATTATTACCACCATTGCTATCCCATTGTAATCAGCTCCCAGAAGATAAAGATATTTCATAAAATCAGGCCAAAGGAACAAGATTTTTCATGGAGACCAATTTAAGAACTAAGTCATGGTATAATCTTTCTCCTATTCCTCCAGGGCAAGCAGATGCACACACCCAAGCATGTATGTATATCTAAGAATTCCGACCCAAAGAAGATGTAGGCATGAATGTATTCAGCGGTATGTGAGGTTACTAGGAAAACAATTGCAGTCCAACGAATAAACACATCATTCAGATATTTTAAACAAGTATACCTAAGTAATACTTCTCATGCACTAGGTTGCTTCCCTTTTTTCATTTTCTATGAATTCTACAAAATGGCCAATAGAATTATGCAGGCTATAAAATAATACCTCTTTCACAATTTCCTTAACCCGTTTCAACGAATCAAGAAGGCCAACATGCACTACTTTTCCCCTTCGAATGACCTGAACACCACAGCCTTTAACAACTTTTCCCTCATTTATCATGCATCCAGCAACACGACCACTACCACTGCTGAATACGGCCCGGACTTCTGCTGAGCCAATTGTCACTTGTTCCTATCAATACACAAGTAACAATGTCAACTGCAAATCTTTCAGTCTAGAAAATTTCAACAATGTTAAAGCATAAGCAGCATATGCCCCTAAAAGTCAATGCCTTAAAAACCTAAAGAGATCTAGTGCTTAAGTTCATTGATACCTCAACAGGCTCTAGGAGTCCTTCCATTGCATTTCGTACATCATCAATAAGTTCATAGATAACTCTATAAAGGCGGATCTCGACGCCTTTGTTTTCTCCATAGCTTTTCACAGAACCCGGTACTTTGACATTGAATCCGAAAATGATGGCTTTGCTGGCAGCAGCAAGATCAACATCACTGGTGCTTACATCACCTGTTGCTTCCAAGAGAAACTTCAAGGTGACATTATCTTGTGGGAGCACCTGCAGGGCTTGTCTGACAGCCTCAATAGATCCCTAGACATGACAATAATCATGATATAATTCAGTACAGTTCAAATAAAGACTAATTATCTATGAAACTTGAAATTGGTTAGACACTTCTTGAAGGGCCAGTTACCAAACTATATATTGACTGGTGAAAATTAGAAGAACAGATTAAGATTTTGATCAATTGTGCAATTCTTAAGGGGCCAGTTGCAAAACTAAATTATTCCCATCTTATAGCGAAAATAAAGCCTGTAATGGACATCTGAAAATAATTCAATCTTGCTGTTGTTATTCATTTCATCCATGATGTCTAATTACCATTCCACATGCATACAACTTCATTGAGCATGCCAACTGTCTAACCGGCTTATATTCCAAAAAAAATTCTCCGCTTTTCCAACCACAAATTAAGCTGTTTTTCTTATACTTTTAAAACCCAATAACATAACTAGTCCAAATTTTTAATCAATATTGTGAATGATAGCCCTTTCTGCGTATAAAATGGTAGGTTGTGCCTTGTCAGGTTCCACATTATGGTTTATTCTGATAATTGTATTTTTTTTCTTTAATCAGTCTAAATTAAAATAAAAACTCAACTCATCAGTTGTTAAACTCAAGGTTGCAACGTGAAAAACAACATACTTTACAAACGATGAATATGCATACCTGAAGATCAACCTTCAGAATAATATTTAGCTGGTGCAAGTCTAATCCAGACAGCTTTCCTGATGAGACTGCAGATGCTAAGGAAGAAAGAGTAACCCTGCCGTCACCAGCCTTAGCTGATATACGTTCATTTCGCAATGACTCAGCACGTGACTCTGCCTTTTCGCGTGCAACATCAAGGGAGCCAACAACATCAAATTCATCACCAGCAACAGGAACATTATTTAATCCAAGAACCTACAAGTAGACACAGAAATTGCTATTCAGGCATTGAAACAAGAATCATGCGACACACTTGAATACATATCACATAAAAATAAAGAAGAAACTAAAAACAAAAACATCCTTGAAAAAGGGCACTCATGTAAGCAACTTATAGACAGTGAAATAAAATGGCTGCTCATAGAAGCTTTAGAGAAGAATATATAGTTTTCTACTATTAACCACCATAGAAAGCAGTGCTACAACAAATGTGTTTTCAGTTATGTTGAAAAATTTAGCAATCAGAGGAAGCTGTGCCATTTATCTTCCCAACTGTAATTGCTTATAGTAATCATAATGTCAACAAAATGGAAGCAGAGGAATAATGAAGCTAATACAAATACTTGCATGTCAACGGCGATAAAGAATTACACAGCATCTGGAAATCCAAACTTACCACTACAGTTTCATCTTTTTAATAAATAAAAAGAACCCCAGTTATACTTAATAATGTATTGTACTTACAAAGCTCACTTAAATTGCAACACAAACTCGCAAAATTTTGAAACTGTCAGCTTCTATTTCTCCAATTAGAACCCTACAATGAATTTCTACTAATATCCGACAAGCCCTACAAACATTCAGACATTTGGATTTACTTATGATCCACTATAACTTTTGAATTAAGTCACTGCTTAAAACAACAGAGAAAGAATGAAAGACAGTTTAAAACAAAATAATAAAAGAATATATGAATGACAAACCTGAACAGGCATAGAGGGTCCAGCTTCATCGACACGATTTCCACCATCATCAAATAAAGCCCGCACCTGACCATGGTAATAATAAAAAGTGCCTCATGTTAGTCAAAATGTTGACCATTTGAGCCGCATAAAAAGTGGATTAGATCTAAGCAAAAGGGCTCAGAGTTCAAAAATTGTTATCCACCAACCTTTCCAAAGGCTCCTCCACAAACTATTATGTCCCCCCGTCTAAGGGTTCCATTTTGCACGATAAGTGTAACTAAAGGTCCTTTAGATTTATGAAGACCGGCCTCAATGACTGTGCCTTTCGCACTTCTATGAGGATTAGCCTTTAAATCTTGCAACTACAAAAATCATACAAAAGGTTAGGAAAAATAAATTTATCCACCAGAATACTTTCCAAAAAACAAATTCAGACAACCAAGATAGCTAGAAAAAAAATATATTATTGCAACAGTATATCAAAGCTAATGCGTAAACATCCATTCACATCTGCCTTACCTCTGCAACTAGCATAACAGTTTCCAAAAGCTCATCTATATTCTTCCCTTTAAGAGCACTAATCTGTTTAAAGCCACAGAAGGAAGCGCTCAGAAAGAGTATAAGGCATAACAAAATATGTAAGTACAATTCTTCTAAATGAAATAACAACCTGGACCATTGGAACATCACCACCCCAGTCCTCTGGCATTAGACCAATAGAAGAAAGCTCTTGCATGACTCGATCTGGATTAGCTCCATCCTTGTCTATCTGGTACCATTAGAATGAATAGAATTGAGATTCAACAAATCATGATGCCATAAGCAACGCAAGCAAAGCAGCTATTCTTCCTTATTTTTTATCCAAACAAATGGTCAAAAGAAAAAAAGTGCCACTATGCTTGGCATACCTTATTTATAGCTATTACTATTGGCACGCCAGCAGCTTTAGCATGAGCTATGGCCTCTTTTGTTTGAGGGCGGATTCCATCATCGGCAGCCACTACAATGATAGCAATGTCTGTCACCCTTGCTCCACGAGCTCTCATTGCTCCAAATGCCTACAGGATCGGATATAATAGATATCATCTAAAGGGAAAAAAAAGTACAAGCAAGTTACAGAAACCAAATATCATCCAGAAAAATAAAGATAAAATAATGTGGTTATACGGAGGGGGAGAGGGAGAGAGAGAGAGATTTCCAAGTGTTTACTGGAGAGTGATTGTACCTCATGCCCAGGAGTATCAAGGAAAACACATGATTGCACCTTTCCATCAATTGGTACAAGCACCTTATATGCCCCAATTCCTTGTGTAATTCCACCAGCCTCTGAGGCAGCAACCTGTGAATGTATAATTATATACCAGTCAGGTATCAGTTAAATTACTTTATGCTAGCACCAATTCCACAATGCTCCAAAGTTTATTAAACCAATACCATATTTTATGTGAACAATCAATATGTTATAACCAAACTACTGAAATAAAGTGTTTAAGTTTTACCAAAAATAACAAAACCATAAAATCCGATACCACTAAGGTCATTGCAAAATAAACTGATGGGAGAAATTAGACTGTTCAGCGCTATGTTTACCTTGCTCTTCCGGATATAGTCCAACAGGGTTGTCTGGCAAGTGACAAACACAAAAGTATTAGAAATACTGGAATGTAAACTTACAAATTTAAAAATACAATACACAAGATGAACTACTCAAGAAAACAAGATGCAAAAGAACTGACTAGCAAATAAAACACATGAACATCATTTACCTTGCCATGATCCACATGACCCATTATAGTAAGGACAGGAGGCCTGTCTTCTAGTTTGTCTAGGTCATCTTCATCGAGTATTTCCTTCTTTTTTTGCCATTTCTTCCACCTTTACAGGATCAGCATCTATAACTTCCACGTCATGCTCTTTACAAATCATCTTTACCATATCTTTGTCCAGAGTTTGAACCCCATCAGGCTTAATTCCCTTTGCGTACAGAGATCCAAGAATTTGGGATTCATTAATGGCCAAATAGTATGCTAAATCATCTATCAGCATACCATCCTCACCAACCTCTAGAATTTCTACTTTAACAGGGGCTGCCTCTTTGGCAGCCTGGAGTCTCGCTGCCTTCCTGCTTGCTTTACTCCACTTCCTCCCTTTCCTAGCTGCTCCAGGAATAGAGACATTGAGTTCTGAGGCCTCTTCATCCGGAATCTCGTCATCAACCTTCCGCCTCCGCCCACCTGGATCATTTTTCTTTCGATACCCATCTTTGAACCTTCCAGGGGGAGGGCCCTTTCCTGGTTTTGAAGGAGCTAAAACTGCTTGAGAAATCACAGAATCAACTGCTGGCTTCTTGGAAGCAAATTTGTCAATCAAAATTGGCTTCCGTTCTTTAGTTTGTGTGGAAGAATCAGTTTCATCAATCCCTGACGATTTTGGAGCCGCCCCCACATCCTTCAAGACAACTGGTTTCTTTACCGTGGGCGGAGGAGCTGTAGAAGGCTTTGCTTGTAATTTTGGTTGGGGTCTCAAAGGGGGTTGAGGGGGTCTCAAAGAAGCATGGGGTTGAGCCTCTGCTTTTAACCCTCCCCCTGTTTTTAGTTCCTCTTTTGGGATTGTATTATTAAGTTTAGGTGATTCCTTTACAACCTTCTGCACAGTTGACACTGTGTCTCCTTTACGCCACACACTCTTCAAAGTTTTAGACTTACTACTTGTCTCCGAGTTCACCGGTTTAGCATTCTGCAAATTAGTACTTGCGTTAGATGGTGCAGGTTTATTTACAGAGCTACTATCTTTCTTAGTACCCAATTCACCAGCTCTTGAAGTTTCTAACTTTTCAGCCTTCTCCAGAACCTCTCCAAGCGACTCAATCACCTTATTCCTGTCTTCTTCTCCTTCTTCTTCATCCGAATCCCCACTAATCCTTGAGGGGTCCCAATCAGCTGCATCAATACCTACAAGGGGTTCATTATTGGACCCTCCTGAGGACTTCAATACTGGCTTTGGGGAAGGCTTAAGTACAAAATCAGCATTGGCATTAGAAACATCTGTACTTCCTCTAAAGTTGTTAGAATCAAGGGACACCTCATTGCCTTGCTTGGCAACAAAATCAGTAGTTGTGACCGAACATTTACACACAGATAACCTTACACAATGCCATCTCCTGCTACCCTTTAAACTTGCCTTAGACAAAGAAACTTTTCTAACAAGTGAGCGGGACCTTTCAGACGAACCCAAAAGTGTGACACTTCCCAAACTAACAAGGGAAGCCACAGAAGCCATTGTTCCCTGCATGCTTCCTACTAAAATTAGCATGGAGACCCCACAACACAACCACCCATATATATATTCTAAGCTGTCATCCTAAACTCTCCAGAGTTCCAGACCAAATGTGAACTTGTATGTCAATTAGTATAACATGAAGCAAAATTCAAGCTACCCAATACTGGAATTCCAGAAGCAACAATAATAGTATTGTTCCCAGCAGAAAAAAAAACACAAACAAATGGAACCCCAAATCCGAAATTTAATACTTTCTAGAGAAAGAGAACGCCTTTACCTCTCTCCAAGAACTGTGACTGGAATTCCAACACTTGGGGTGTTGTTGAGTTGAGAACTTGAGAGAGAAAAAGAGACAGAGAGAGTGAGTTTGTAAACAGGAAGTTGGAAGGAGGTTGTGGTTGGGGAAGGTAGGGGATAATAAGGTGGAGGTGGAAAAAAGGAATGAAATTTGAAGAATATATGTGGCTGTTTGTTTACCTATCAAAATCTATATGCGATAAGGCAAGGCTTTGACGGGTTTTCTAATTTCTTCCTGCGAAAATATATTTATGGGCTTTTTATAGTTTTGCAGTTTTGATGGTAAGCATTGTATCAAGGTCGAGAAGACTGTGAGTGCCAATTGGGTTGGGTCGGTTGGGATTTTGGCAACTTCCTTAACGCCGCTGGAATTTCTGTAGCAGACCATACCCCAGAGTCCTTTCTTCTTTTTCTTTATCTTTTTCTTTTCCTCTTTTTTTTTCCCCTATTATTTCATGACATTTTTCTGTTTTCCTGATTTTACAAAACAAAAAATAGAATCTCAAATTTACAAATATTTGGAATCAATGAACATATCTTTTGATGCCTTTATTTGGAAAGAGTAGAGTTTATATAGTAGAGGGAGGAGAAGTAAAGGTTCCAACTTCAAGTTTGATTTCAAGTGCATATCACCATTATGTCCTTGTATCATATTCTAACCATTACAAACATTGATGAAGGGGATGATTTCAGTAGAAAAATCTAATCCATTCTAACAATAAATTTTAAAAGTCAAAATTTATGTCAATGGACTTGTGGTTAAAATGATTTGTAACCCCTGTATCCGAGGTTCTAGCTTTGATTCATCCCTCTCTTAATATTGCTCGTATTTTAATTAAAAAAATCAAAATTTATGGCAATAAAATTCCCCCAACAAAATTACTTTATTTTTCAAGACTCCAAGTTCAAACTCTGTATAAAATAAAATTAAAAAGAAAAAAGGAAAAAATTATCTATCATCTCTCACCTTCCAAAATTCCAAATTTACCGCAGAGCGCCAACGCATAGCAAACTGTTTAAATTTAAAGGTGTAAATCCGCTCAATATTTGTGTACTTAATTGGACTTGTGCTGTTGTCATGAGTTGCGTCAAGACTTGCCGCGAGTCGTTCAACTTCACTTTGTATCTCCCCATCCCCGTCATTTCCTTCTGACTCGTCATCATCCCCTCCCCTGCAATCTAGGGCTTCTTCCTTCTCTCTCTCTTTCTCTCTCTGATTCCCCATTTTCTCAAACACTGATACAAAGCAGCAAGTAAACATGGAAGGAGTCGAAGACGCGGCGACAATGATCAACTTGGCCAACACTCCTCCTCCGCCCTTTCTGAACAAAACCTACGACATGGTGGACGACCCGTCCACCAACGCCGTCGTTTCCTGGAGCGACGGCAACAACAGCTTCGTCGTTTGGAACGTGCCCGAGTTCTCCAGGGACCTCCTGCCCAAGTATTTCAAGCACAACAACTTCTCTAGCTTCGTCAGGCAGCTGAATACTTATGTGGGTATTTCTTCCCTTTTCCCAATTTCGATTATTCTGCTTTTTTCTTTGTTCTTTGTTTCTGCATTTTATTGTGGGTTTTTGGAGGTTTAGATAGAAACAAGAAGATGGTTTGCGCGGTACTTCCGTTTAGAACTGTGAAATTTGGAGTAATTACGCAAGACCAATGTTCAATTAGGTTTGATCATTGTTCTTTTGGTAAAGGTTTATAGAATTGGAGGTTGTAAATAGATAAACCATGAAGATAGATTCTGTTTGTGTGGATTTTATATCACAAGATTTTAGCCATTGTTGTTGAATTGGATTCGTGGTCATTCAGTGGGTTCCTTCAGGGCTATGTGGTCACTGTATCATGTAATCAAGTGGATAAATTTCAATTTGTTTTGTTTTGTTCGGAACCCCACCTAGCCCCAAAAAAAAAAAAAAAAAAAAAGACAAAAAAAAAAAAAAGAAGTAAAACAGATTAAGAGAAGTTTGAGATATATTTGAGCCTAAAACCCTAACCTAAGTTATGTGCAAATTGTCTCATTTAACGTGCTTCTTTGACAAGTTTGTTCCTATGATTCATTCTTATCTTTACGGATTAATTATACAATTAATTTTTTTTCCTTCATAGTAAGACCATAGGGTTGTTTTATTGTAATGAAACCATTTTGTATAAAGTGGAACATAAAAGTTCCTTAGGCATTTGCTGATATCCCAGAAAATTTCAAATGATTGGCATGTTTAGCTTTCTTTAGCCTCTAAATTCCCATCTTATTCAGATGAAGACAGTTCTTTGAAAACTTGGTGACACTGACAGGCAACTTGGTCTTATAAGCTCAGTAGTTTGATCTCTGTACATGTCAACGTAGTTAGTGACTGAAAGTGTGACATGTTGAAAATGTTTCGCACTACAAGGGCGATGTAGTTATATGGCATAATCCAAAATGTAGTAATTCATGATTTCTCAACTCTTACAGATGACAGGTATCAAGTAGTGATCTAGTTTTGGTAAATACTTATTGGCATTGTTAATAGAAACTAGCGGGATGTAAAATGAATGGGTATGTACACCTGAGGTTTGTTCCTTTCCCCTTCTCTTACTTCCAGAGATTATAAGTTAGGAATACTTCTTTCTTCCTTTTCAATTCATACATTCCCACCAGGAGTTAGTGTTTTAGAAGATACATGAAATCAGTTTCTTTTTTTTTCTATTTTAAGTTTTGTTTAGTAAGACAAGAAAGGTGAAGTTAAGCTCTTTTTTTTGGCAGTTGCATTATCCATGTGTTTGGATATGAGACTTTTGTTAGTTTTTGTCTTATTTGTTTAATATCATATTATTTGGAACTTTTATTAGGGTTATAAATTTAAACCATAGAAGGACGATCGCAAATGACTATACTTCTGCATATATGTATATAATATGCATACATACACAAACCTGGGTGTGTGTATCCGACATAATCCGGTGAGTGGTTCAAGCAGTTTCCTACGCACTGGTTAACAAGAAAAATCCATGTTCACCGACCAATATATCAAAATCAAATAGCTAGCATGCATGTCAAAGAAAAGTGCTTTGTCATAATTTGAACATCAGTCGTTGGATTTTGATCCTATGACTGGTGAGCATGAATTCTGTGCTCACTGGTAATATGAGATCAAAATTGCATATATATGATATTTGTATTTATCTATATCTATATATGTATGTATTTTTGTACATGGATGTGTTTTTGTGTATATAGAATTACTCTAATAAGGTGTCTGTCCTTAAATGAGAACTCGTTTCTTGGTTGTTAAATCAGATTTGAACAGTTGAGATGTATCGCCTCTTAGTTGTTTAGGGATCTGCCATTTTCAGCCTCTAGTAAGACTGGCAAGCTGTAGTGGGTTAATATCGATAAATGGCTATTGTATCATCATTTTGTTGTTTCTAATGCGGACATCTTTTTCACTATGTTGTAATTTATTGTTATGATTTAATTATTGCAACAGTCCCTGAACTTATATCCAAGTTCCACTTTAGTCCCTCAATTCAGTTTTTAAATTTTGTGGTGCCTGGGTACAAGTTCAGTGACCATTGCAATAATATTGTTTATTCAGCAATAAAATTGTCTCCTAATATCTGAGAAACAATTCGCAGAAAGTAGAAGTTTTACTTGTGTTGGTTATTGGAAATAAATAAAGAAATGATAAAGAGTGGAAAAGGAGGCAAAAGCTAATAAGTTCCTTTGCAGCATTTGGCTGTTGGAGGGTTGATACTGCAATTATGCCTATGAATGGTGCTTGTTATCTGAGGCTGGATCATGAGACGAGAGATTCTGGCTCTTTGTCCTATGCTCCAAAAAAAAGTTTAAGATGTATGCGTAACTTTTTACTTATATTTTCATTATATAATTTTAGTATTTATGGTGTTGCATTCAATTTGCAGGGTTTTAGAAAGGTTGATCCAGACCGATGGGAATTTGCAAATGAAGGGTTTCTAAGAGGCCAGAAACACCTTTTGAAGACTGTCAGCAGGCGGAAACCAGCTCATGCACAGAGTCATCAACAAGCACCACCTCAAGTGCAGAGCTCTCAGGTTGGGGCATGTGTTGAGGTGGGAAATCTTGGGCTGGAGGAAGAGGTCGAAAGACTTAAAAATGACAAGAACATTCTTATGCAGGAACTTGTTAGATTGAGGCAGAAACAGCAAGCAACAGATAATCAGTTACATAATGTTGGACAACGTGTGCAGGGAATGGAGCAGCGGCAGCAGCAAATGATGTCATTTCTTGCAAAGGCTATGCATAGTCCTGGATTTTTATCCCAGCTTGTACAGCATCAAAATGAAAACAACAGGCGAATCACTGGAAGCAATAAGAAAAGGAGACTCCCAAGGCAAGAAGATGAAATTTTGGTTGGGAAGCTTAGCACCAAATCTCTCGATGGACAAATGGTGAAGTACCAACCTTCAATGAATGAAGCAGCAAAAGCAATGCTGCGGCAGATCTTGAAGATGAATACATCTCCTAGGCTGGAACCGTCGATCAATCCTGATGCTTTCCTGATTGACAATGTTCCTTCTTCTGATGCATTAGAAAGCGGTGACACCTCTAACCGGATTTTGGGCGTGACCTTTTCAGAGGTTCCACCAACTTCTGCGGAGTGTTATATGCCCGAAGAAGAGTCTGGATTTCCTGACAGTTGTCATTCTACAGCCATTTCTGAGATCCAGTGTTCTCCTTATGCGGTTACCAATTGTGTTAAAGCAGCTCAAGTTTTGGAAGAGAACATGCATAATTTTCAAGAAGATGCAGTTATGCCTGAATCAACGCAAATGCAAGGTGGTGTTCCAGAAAGCACTGTAGAAATCCCCAACGCAAACTTCCTGAGCTCTGAGACTGGGAATGCAGAATACATGGATATGTCAGTGGTTTTGGATGGGACCCTGCCTACAGAAACTGATGCCTTTTCTCCTGAGCCTGATGTAGATGCTTTGCTGGGCTCTAACCTTCCGGGAATTACTGATATCTTCTGGGAACAATTTCTTCCAGCGAGCCCTCTGACTGGTGATGTAGATGAAATTAATTTGAGTTCCACTGATGGGGGGACCACAGATCAAGAGTTGAAGTTGGCGGAGGAGAATGGATGGGACAAAACTCAACATATGAATCATATTACTGAACAAATGGAGCTTCTTGCACCAGGGAGCAGAATTGGTTGACCTTGTCTTTCCAATTGTATATACATGTTTCTTGCTATCAAGAGGTAAATTCATAATCCACCATTTACCGTTAGAAGAATGTGAATAGTCACCCTCCCTCAATTTTAACTGTATGAAAGTCAGTCAATACTTAGGGTTGTTCGTAAAGGATTAAAGGATCTGTAGCCTTGAATGGGTAAGTTTTGGCCTTGGTACTTTTCTCTTTACCCTTGCACCAAATGTTTGTAATAATAATTATGTTACTTACTCCATTTTACACAGCAATATTGCATTTCAATTTTTTTGACCTGTATACATTTATTACCTTTAATTCTTGAAACCCTTTTTCCGTCCTAAATTCTTTAACCCTGGAAATCTCGAACTGTTAGCAATTCAATTAGGCAGGCATATTACTATTCAGTTTCCAATTTTGCAAATTTCTATGTTTCTTGCACAGGTTGATGTTGCGCCCTGATGAGCAGGCAAAGCTCTTCCTCAAAGACTAATAATGACCAGCTAGGATTCAAGTTTAAGAAACTCTTATACTCGTGTAATCTGGCTTAGCGATATGGTTTGATGCATTTTCGTCCAAGACCTTTTTGTTGGTATATGGTGAAGTCTATTGTAACTATGATGTAGGCAAATCCTGTTTTGGATCGGAAAGTAAATAGGGAGGGTGGTTCTTTCTAAATATGTTGCGCCCCTTATGAGGTGGGTTTATAATATGCACAAAACTTGAGCAGGTGCTTTATGAAATCTTATTCGTAGGAGAGTATTCCAACAGATATTTTGGTATCAGATTCATGCAAAACCTTGACATCTTTTAATATTAACTAGGATGATATAGGAATTGCCAACTGGATCTAGCTAGCACAATGTCCCAAGTTCGAACCCCATCTTAGTTGTATGTGAGAAATCTCTCTGCCTTATAGTTTAGACTATTGCTTGTACTAAAAAAAAATGATATAAGAATTAGCTTATCGTCTCACCATGTGCTTGCATAGCAGATTTTACTAACTATGAAAATAAACAAATACATAAAATAAAGATGGTACAAGGCTACAAGCTCCTTGCAACTCACTCATACTTTCAAAATTAAAAATTAAAAAACGACTCCGTGATAGAAATGTGAACAATTTGGGTCCGCATAAACATGATTTGTGGCCTAATCTAAAATAATATGTTTAATTCAACTAATGTTATCAAATGAGGAGTTCAAATTAGAATTTAATCCATTTTTTAAAATATCCAAATTTTTTTTTTTTTTCTATTTCTATAACCTTTTTTTTTTTTTTTTTTTTTTTTTTTTTTTTTTTTTTTTTTTAAGAAAGAGATTTTTTCTATAACTTAATGGCTATTTCACTTTTCCCTCTTTTTTTTTTTTTTTTTTTTAACCCTTAAAAAATTTCACACAAAAAATAAAAAGGAGGTGATTTTCCCACTTCCTTGTTCTCCATTTACACTCCCTTTTACTTTTTAATACTTTTTAATCAATTTTGTTATTTTTTGTTATTTCTCTTTCCTATTTTACCCTTACTCTACAATTCCCTTTAATAAAAAGACACGTACAATCACTTACTAATATTTTGAAAGAATAAAAATCTAAGACTATTATGCATACCTTGCTCTTTGCATATCTAAGCTCTTAATGACAGTTTGGTCAGCAACATTCTTTAGGTCTTCTACCTGTAAACATGTTAGCCCAAAAAATTTATTATCTTTTAACTACAACAAAGATAAATAGTACTCACATACTTGGTTTAAAAAACACAAAGAATTTAGCTTACAAATACTTACATTTCTATCCATTTCCAATATTTATTTTTATTTTTGTTAACTTTTCTTAATTTTAGTTATGAATTCCTTAATGTATGGTAAATGTAGAATAGGAAAGAGAAAAAACAGAAAAGAACAATATTGATTAAAAAGTATTAAAAAGCAAAAGAGAGTGTAAATGGAGAAAATAGAAGTGGGAAAATCAGCTCCCAAGGAAAAAAAAACCCTTAAATTTGTGATAAATAACATCCCAATTTCAAACCCAGATACTGATACCGTACAGGGATAAAAGCCCATAATCCCATTCCTCAACTTTCTGCACCAACATGAACGATGAAGCTAGGCTTCAGTCCAAAACTCTCAACATTCCTTAAACCCTCTTCTGTCACTAACCTCCATCGCTCCTTTTGCTCTTCTTCAATATCATCACCACCACCCACTTCACTCAAACCTCAAACCCCTCTCTTTCTGAAGCCACCCATACACTCAGCCGCCTCCTCAGACCTCCAGAAATGGCATGACTGGGCCAAAAGTCTCGCTTCCTCTGTTGGGTCAACATTTGTGGACTTGGACAATGGCCCAGACTCAACCCTTTTGTGCAGAGAGATTAAATGGCTCATGGAGGACGCAATCGAAGAAGAATCAGAAGGTATGGAAAACAACCAGAGAAACATTAGGCTAAGGGTGGCCCTGGAGGAGCTTTACATGTTGTGGAAGCAGAGGGTTGAAGAGAGGAGGCCATTCCAGTATGTTGTTGGGTGTGAGCATTGGAGGGACTTGGTGCTTTGTGTTCAAGAAGGGGTTCTAATTCCAAGACCTGAGACTGAGCTCATTGTTGATTTGGTGGGTGATGTGGTTTTGGGTAATGAAGGGTTAAGAGAGGGTCTGTGGGCTGATTTGGGGACTGGGAGTGGTGCAATTGCTATTGGGATTGGGAGGATTTTGGGGACTGGTGGGAGAGTCATTGCAACTGATTTGAGTCCTGCAGCAATTGGGGTGGCAGGTTTTAATGTGCAGAGGTATGGTTTACAGGTTAGTGATAAAATTCTACTTATCTTTATCTTGAAAGAAGAATGATAAGTGTGCTAAAAGAGTCTCTTTACAAAATGTGGATTGTAAACTGACATTTGATTATTGGGTTGACATGCTTTGCTGTGTTTCATTATTAGAGATAGTGAATGGTTAGCTTTAGTATCTGCTAATGGCATTTGGATGTCAATGGAAGAGAAAGTGGAATTTGTTATCTAGGTTTTTGGGATCTTGTGAAAGAGTGTTTACAGTAATATTGTAAAAAAATAAAATTAAAAAATAATGGAGCTTTTGATATTTCGATGAACCCTTTCATCAGTAAAACCACCAACTTCCATTGCTAAAGTCATCTTGCACCTAATTCTAGAGCACATCTTTAATGGAAACAAAAGCAGCAATAGAGAACTCTTGTACTACAGAACACAGGTGTTATATAATTCCGGTTTACAACCATGCCCAGTTAGTTTATTTGAGATTCTAATTGTATCAGCAGTTATGCTGCCTTAGGTCATGTAACAGAAAGAATAGCAAGAGTAAGCTGTGCATAACCCAACTTCTGTCTATGTATTAGCAAAGGATTTTTGGACAAACTTTGTTTAGGTATAGGTGTCCGGGAATGTATGAATCTGATTCCTTGGTAAAAACATTATGTTTCTACTGAAAAAAATACAAGTATATTGATTTCCAATTAACTTGAAGATGAAGGTTCAAAACATTTGGAATGTTATCTCTTTCCCCTGTTCTTTTTACTGCTTTCAAAGTTCTCCATATTGCTCTATGCTCAAGCTCCAATTTTGATGTGCCAATCAGGATGTAGTGGAGCTAAGGCAAGGATCTTGGCTTGAACCATTAAAGGATATGGAAGGTAAACTCGCAGGTTTTGTAAGTAATCCACCATACATACCAAGTGACGATATCTCAGGGCTTCAAGCTGAAGTTGGACGACATGAACCCAAAGTTGCATTGGATGGTGGTATCAATGGCATGGATGATCTTTTACATATTTGCAAAGGGGCTGCTTCTATGTTGAAACCTGGTGGATTTTTTGCTTTTGAGGTATCTATTTTTCATTCTCTAAAAGTAAAGTGTTTAGCATTTGTCCTTTAAAAGTTGAAAAGTACTACAATGAATGAACTGTAGCTAGTTATAATTTTATTATGGTGATACTTGTATGGAGATGAGCGGAAGTTGCAGTCGGTATAGTCAGCTAATAACTAAATCTGCCATATATTCTGTGTAATTTAGGCTTCAGGTCCTGCCCATTATGCCCATTGCTTGTTTTGCTAGAACTAGATGGTGTTTCTGAATGGTGACTAAAAGGTGTTTCATGTGCAAGATATAGTGAGATGCATTATCGTTTTCCCCCAGTTAGTAATTGGTAACTTCTAATCTTCCTCATCAATCCTATATTGTTGCAGACAAATGGGGAGAAGCAGTGCAAACATCTTGTAGAGTACATGGAAAATGATGCTGGAGGCAGCTTTTGTAATTTGAAAATAGTTCCTGATTTTGCTGGTATTCATAGATTTGTTACAGGATTCCACAAGTGAGCAACATGAATTATGATCTCCTACATGGAATCTGAGTCATCCCTTCTTTTCTTTTCTTTTCTTTTCTTTTTTCTCTTACATGTAAACAAGAAATATTCAAATTTGGTGCCCTTCGGCCTCCCATTATACGAAAGAAATGGAGCGTGGGTTGCCTCTAGCAAATTATTGTGCGTGTACTAGTTCTGCAAATACTTCATTTTGTGAGTTCCAGCATTTCTAACACAGTCTGCATCGTTTTCAGACATATTGAAGACTAAAAAGAGGCAATATTTTGTCAACAATTTCTTTTCGAAAGTGAGAAATTTGCCAAGAAAAACTTTTTGTATAGAACGTACCCAACCTTGCATTTCATTTGAAGGGTGGAGCTAAAGTGAAGTCATGTTGACAATTTTTTTGGAGTAAATAGAAAGAACAACTTTAAGGATTCAAATAGAATCATCAAATGCTCAATTTCCTCTTGTATACACACATCCACAATTGGGTTTTTTCTGTAATTACCAAACAAGAAACATGCCAAGTTGGCAGGACAAAGGAGAAATTTTATTGACAAGATAAATATGTACAAAAAAAGAGGAACAGTTCGTGGTGGATTTTCACCTTGTACTGAATCATTCAGGTAGGACATTGAGATTAACTGACGTCATACGACTGAACATAAGGGGTTAAATGTGCAACAAGAGCAACAAAAATCTGGGCTCTTATGACTGAAACCTGGGCCCCACCGCTTTCTGTGGTGATACAAAGTGTGTAGATCTTTGATCTTAATTTTCACGAGATCAAACCATTTCCTTGTCATCTTTGTTAAGCACCAACCTTTGTTTGGTGATACAAGCAACCTATCAATCAGTATCTTGACAATCCCAACTACCTTTCTTCCAGAAAAAAATCATTTGCTTTTTCTTGGGATGGGCAGCAGATCTTCTGGCTTAGCCTTCTTGAGCTATTCAGCACGATGTTCTTCGCGATTGCCTCTTCACCCTTTGGGGCAACTTGAATGGACTCCAGCTCTTCCGGCGTTTAGAGGACTCACAAAAGAGGCCAGACGCCAGAGCTTGCTGAAGCCACACCTCAAATTCTTCTTCATCTTCATCCATCATTTCAGCATCCAAATCCCACGGGAACCTACTTGAGTTTGATCTCTGAGTTTTCTCCAAACCAACCATGTTTACATGGAAGCTAGGCCTATGGGTGTTGGGCCTGCAAGCCATTCCCTACATGGTATAAGTTGAAGCTGTGAGATACCAAACCTTTTTCCCCCTGGCAAAAGGTAAATATACACGAACCAACACCATAATAATGGATCAAGAGCACATATTCTCTAAGTCTCTATAACATGGTGTTTTCAGCATGATATCTGACATTTGAACACTGATCTACTCAAATTAGACTACTTTCCAGATCAAGTTTTTAAATAAGAAGGATGCTAGAGATGATTCGCTTGATTCATGTCATTTTCCATAATCCACATCTAGAAAGTATGTAAGGCAGAACATTCACAAATAGTGTAAGAAGAAGACAAATTTTCATAACTTAGATAGATTTTTTTATTCAAACAGTACCTGACAAATAGCCCATTCTGACACATCAAAGATTTTGCTCTCAGCACAAACAAAGGCTCGTGGTATTTCCACCTAAAAGACAAGAAACCAAAGAGCCAACAAATATTATAAGGGATGCTTATATGAACATTCCGGCAAAGACGGCAATTGATCATGATTCAATTTAACAAATCATGTATATCAATGTTATATTACACAGAAACACTACAGCATTTGAATATCATACTTCCTTCTAATTACCTCTCAAAGAATTTCCTGCATCCCTTAATTTATATAGTAAATTTTGCAGCCAAACATTCCATCAAGCAATTTACACCTTTCATGGGAAAATTCTTTTTTTTTAAAATTGATAAATACAAGTGAGGACATCAGAACTATTTGCATAGGATAACAAAAATTCATCACGTCTTGATATTTGAGAAGTTTAAAAATTCTCAAGGTATAGAAAATAAATTCTGAAAAATAAAAAGAAATTACTATAGAAATTACCTTATGATGCCTATTAAAGACTAGAGATCCTTTGTACTCAACCCATCCATCTCCATCCTTTGCTTGGTGATATTGACAGCAATCCTAATGCCAAAACAGAAATCAGAGGCACATAAGAGCATCTCCAACCGATGTGCCAAAAGTGCCACGTAGACATTTAACGGCTAGAAATAACATCTTACATCACTCCAACCGATGTGTCAAAGCTGATGTGGAATGAAGGTTGGAGGTTGAGATGTTATTTTTGACATCCCAAAAGCAAGATGTCAAATGAATATTTTATTATTTTTAAAAGATAGTTGGCTGTTAATTTCATTTATTTTTTTTATTTTTTTATTTTTTTTTCTTCTTTATCTTAAATGATTTGACTGTTACAATAATTTTTTATTTGACATATCGGGTGGAGTGTAAAACTGTGTAAATGTCAAATTGCCACATCAGCCATCAAATTTAAATTTGATGTTTGGTATTTGACATCTCCCTTGGAGATGCTCTAAGACTGAAGTGCAAAAATTAGAGAGAGAAGGCTTCAACAGTGTGATAATAATTAAAAAGATACTAATGATAGAGAGCAATGTCTGACCTGGCACCATCTAGCCTTGGCCTTACTTCTGTTGGTGCATACCCATATATGCGAATTTCCACACTTAGTGCACTGTATACGTCTCGACTCTTCGGAACAATAATCTGGACCATCCTGCTTATAGTAGAAGTATGTTAATGCAATTTTAAGTAGGGGTTATATATGAGCATCAGTGAATTAATTCAGAGAGAAACAAACCAAGGAAAAACAGATTTCTGCAGTTAAAATCATTAGGAAAAAAGATACGTGAATAAAATGCAGACTGCAATAAGAAAAGATAAGTTTTTCTACTCAAAGTCACAATGAAGTCATGATACTTTTTTTCATACTCTTCATCAACAACAAGACATCATCCTGCACAATGAAGATGGCTCCCAACTTTCAAAAACAAACTAGGAAGTATAGCCACACACATGCTAAGCAACAATTAAGTTTCTTCCTTCTTCTTTTTTCTGCCGAGGGCAAAATCGACCTCAAACTTTTCCTTTGGACAATATTAGCATAGTTTATATGAGCAGGAAATTACTCACCCCAGAATATGTAATTAATATATTTTGAATTTGCAATCCCTGGCATAACACAAACATATCATATCCTTTACATCTCTGCTCTCTTTTCTATAGTTATTGATGACCTCCATCAAAATGGCAATCAGGTAACCTACCAATTAAATCAATAAGCACAGAACATAGCTCACCTGATGTGAAGCACCATGGGACTTCTGGCACACACTCTTAGTCTTGGATTCTTCCTTCCGCAACTGCTCATCATAGTCTCGCTTCTTTGTGGAATCAGATAGAACCTAAAAATGTATTCCATTGTGAGTAGCATATACACAATAACTATAATTCTCATTTCAGAGTCTCAGACATGCATTATGGGATAATCACACAACTAAAAAAACAGTGCTTTGTGTATAATTACCTCATATGCACATTGAAGTTTCTTAAAGGATTCACTGGCTAGTGCACTTCCCATGTTTTTATCTGGATGCACAAGCATGGCCTATACAAAGGATAAACAAGTAATAAATGGGGTAAGAGGGGAGATAGTAAACTTCTAAATAGAATGAGTTATAATATATATACACACAAAAGGCACATACAGAGTAAGTAACCAATCCTGCATCATTAGATCCCAACCTGCAGTTAGGAATAGAACACTTAAAAGTGTTCTAATCTTCATTGTAGTGAGGGATCTAAAGGCTCAGTATTAGTAAAGAAGTAAACTATCAATCAAGACTGTTAATCACATGGAATCGTGTTTAATTGTCCAATGCAATATACATAACACACACACATAGTATAACTCATTGCATATCAGATTCTTATAAATTGTATTTAGTCACTAATGCTACTCCTTTTTAGTCAAATCCCAATAAAGCACCTCTCCCTTAAATAAATCATTTCAAAAGTAGTACTTAGAATGAGAAAAAAAGAGAGAACTCCCACTGGTGAATTCAACCCCTCAAGAAAAAAGGAAATATAATATCCACCTTCTTCCGGTATTCCTTTTTCAAAATTGCAGCATCAATTTTTTTGTGGCGAGGAAATCCCAGTGCTTCATAATGATCAATACTGTCTAATATTTTTTTCATCTCAACAGCTGAATTTATTTCCTCTTTGGCCACTGTACTAGGGGAAGATTCTTTCGGAACATCAATAACAGCTGAAGTAACTGGCTTGCTTGATGATTTACATGAGTGCACCTTTTCAGATTCCTCAGTAGGAATAGAGTATTCACACTCCCCAGAAAAGTCATCTTCAATAACTTCTTCTGATTGCTTCTGCTCTTCAAAGTGTGTCCTTTCACTCACATTATCACACCATTGAAGCATATAATTTAATGCATCATTAGAGAAGAATGCAAGGTTTATTGAGAGAATAACACCATGCCACCCAACTTGAACTTTGACACAATAAATAGCATATATAGTTGCCATCAAGACCACCAACCGTGCATGATTTAAGGAGAACAAATAACCTGCATTTGATTTGAAACAAGACTTAAGTATTTTAAACATCAATAGAAAAGCCAAAATATATCAGAATGCTGATCCATATATAAGACCTCTAAATGCAGAACTCTTGGAATTTTCGCAATAGATTGTTTAATACTAAGACCACTTTGATGAAATACCCAAGCTAATGCAGGATTAACGGCATGTACCCAAATGAACATGAGGACACTTATAGTCGAACTTAAAGACATGTTTTTCAAATCTTTTGTGATACGGTGTTTATTTGGTTAAATTACAAGTCTTCTATGTTGATGCATTCAGAAGGCTAAAATTATATCTTCAGTTATTTCGTTATTTCCTAGATATCGTGTTGTGAATGTGAAATCATTCCAAAAGATTGCTGCAAAACTACTACAGTCAACTCTAGATAGCCAGAACTGTGTGTGTTCATCACTTTGATTTTAGGTACATATTCACGCACATAAGCCAATGAGTGGTAGATATGTACCCTTGCATGTTTCATACAGTATAAATAAAATAGCAACAACGGTAAAGCAAGAACAATGAGGGAACAGAAGACATTCAAAAGAATAACATCTCTGCATCATGTTACTGAATTTTAAATTCAAGGTCAAGAAAGCAGGCGTACCTCCAACTATAAATAATGTTCCTGTTATCCAAAAGTTAGCATACATCCATAAAATCAGAATAGCGAAGAGCCCTACTATAAAAAGTCCTGGAGTGTAACCCAAGTACTGAACAGCAGCTCCAGCAGCTCCCTGAAATATTGGGCCCAACCATAAGTGGCAGTTTTTCAAATCTTTGTTCTGTAGCTAGCAACGTATATACTCATTTAAGTTTACATACCAATGTGTATTTGTATTGTTGGAGTTACAAATACTCCACAGATGTGACCTCATAGCTATCCATTATTCTAAATTAAGCCACCTTGTATAAGTAATGCCAAGACAAGAAAGCTACGAAGGTTCCACAAAGTCACAGAACATATCTAATAAACAATTCCTATTTATGCTGTTATCCAAAGTGGGGTGTGGCATTGGCCTCTTAAGTTTGAAAAGCTTCTAGAAACATAGCTGCTAAACACAACTCTTTCAAGTCTAAAAATCTTCTAGAAATAATCTTAATTCCACTGCAGTCTTTTCACAAATATAACATGACTGGCCTTTCTTCTGTTTATTTTCCCACCAGAAGGCCCTAATTTGGCAACTTAAGTAATTTCTACTAAGTCTTCAATAAGATAACCTAAAACTTGAAATATTTGGTCCCAAGTAGACCACGAAACCTGAATTCTTTAACCTTAACATGCAAGCTTCTGCATATGTGCAAACCCTCAACCCTTTCAATTGGGATTCCTAAAACCTTTACATTATCCTGTCCTGGCCTAGCTTACTTCATGAGCAAACATCCCCCAGTTTCCTAGTCTATCCTATGCCAACACTTTTTCCACTCCTAAAACCCCTCTACGGAAAGCCTTATCTATCCTATGTGAACACTGTCCACTCCTCTGAATAACCATTAAGGTTTTTTAATAAATGGTGCTTGGAACTATGTAAATTTGCAGATGTGTAATTGCAGTGACAACCATAGGGTATAGAGCACAAACGTAACCATAGTTATACTCACACTTCAAAGAGAACCACTCTTACTATGACTTAACGGTGAATAAACTCATAGTTGACAATGCTGACTTCAGTGAAATTATTCCACATACTTCAAATGAAAAAACAACATACGATAAAATTACCACCAAAAAAAAAATATTCCACATAATGAAAATTAAAATATTATTCCCATATGATGTTACAAACTGATTTTTAAAATTGAGGGAAAAAAATGGCTTTCTTTTGAGACCCAAACACTATTTAAAGGATCCACACAGATCACGCTCCAAAAGTTGGATCAACCATTGCTTTCTCAGCTGCCAACTATGAGCCATATGTTACATCATAGATTGTCCATCTAAAAGACATCACTCCTAAAATACCCTTATAAGAAAATGGTCATTAAATCCTTAAACGGATTAGGACTTTGAAAGGAATCATAATTCTCTCTGATGCTGTCACACATCTACAAATTCCATGTTGTACGACCCAATTATAAATTTCCATCTATATAATGAAATTCAATGAATTAAGAAAAAAAAAAATTAGAAGACAGCGCATTGGCAAAAGGCAACAATTAAAATGCTGAAGAGTTTTTAAAAAATGAGAAGGGAACATACCATACTAAGAAGTACATAAATCAAGCAAGAAATGGAAGTCAAACTGAGAAAGCAACTCCACATTATAAGGAGCAAAGCCGCAGAACCCAACCCAAGAAAGGATTGAAAACCTCTTACAACACAGTCCCGCCAATAAATCAACAACAAGAGCAACAGCCTCCCCGTCTTGGTGCACCCACTGCACACCATCGGCCAATGCCGCTCTATGAACATCCCCATTTTATCTCTAAATCCACTGATCGCTGTTCGAGATCGCGAGTAAACGTGCTTGTGTGATAGCAGCCATTTCCAACCTTGTTTAAAAAGTCCTATGTCCTCCATAAATACAACTATGGGCGTATGAGATTAGCTGAGAAGCAGATTACTGTTCAAAATAAACCCTGCTACCTATAACCATCAATTTGAATCCGAAATTGGCAACAACTCAAACTCTGTGATGCTAAATCATCAATGAAGTCCATAGAACATAAGAACAAAGAGCAAGTACAAAACTTTATCTGATAAAATACCAAGCTGAAAAGGAGAAAATAGATGCAGCTCAAATTCACGGATTTAGAGCAGGATCTAGAAGCCCCAACCTCCCGCAAACCAACTAGTAAATTGGATCACGTTCTGCTTTCATTCAACTCTCGTATTGCTTCACATGCAAGCTTCCAAAAAGCAGCAAAAACACGCACAAAAGCTAAAAAGAACAGATACAAAATTCGCAAATATTCCGCTTTTTTGAAATAATGTCTCTCTAGCTTTTCTGACGCGAATGTCTCAGTGTCTATGAAACGAAACCCACAAGTAGTCCCAACTCCCAGACCAATAATGGTAGCCTGGCTATGTCAGTCTCCTCCAAAACAAATTAAACGGAGCAGATGAAGATGACCTGCAATCCCGGTTATGGTGGAAACCCTAGAGAGAGAGAGAGAGAGAGAGTTGAAGCACCGACAGTGGAGAGGAGAGAGTTAACGCCTTAAAGGAGGAAGCTCTAGGGGATTCGGAGGAAGAGGATTTGGGAGGTGGGAGAGAGAGAGATAAAAACCCTAACTTTTTACAGGCATTGCTTTGCTCGTGAAAAAGAGAGTTTGAAAAGTTTAAAAAAGGTGTAGAAAGGAAGAAGAGAGAGAGGGTGAAGAAGGGGGCCTTGGGCTTGCACAGGAAGAAGGAGAGGATAAGAGACTGCTACACTTGTGTCACATTTGTCACTTTGTTACTCTCTCTTTTTTGGCATAATTATGACCCAGTAGGACCCACTTGACACCCGTGTTTTTTTCATTCCTCTTTTTTTTTTGCCCTCATTATGTTTGCTTAGTTGGGTTTTTAGTACTTACAACCACTTCATGTTTTTTTGACAATTTTCTATTCAATAAATAATAATGTCACACACCTACCATCTACTTATTACTTGAATACTTTACTTTTATTGTCAACATTAGAAGAATGTGATGTGAAAGGGAATTTATTAATGGAATTCTTAGACATAAACAGGTTGATTCTGGTCCTATGTAATTTGGGAATTGTCCTGCCTGGTTGGCAGATCATGGCTTCCCTTGTTTTTGTTCGCATATGTTTATAGTTATAGAACTCTAACCAAATTAAATTAAATCATAGGATATTGTCGCTAAATTGCAAATGAATCAAGACCGCACATTCAAACACAATTTGTAATCTATTACAGAGTCAAGAAATTCATTATATTTCATCAAATTCGGAATGTGATACGGTTCTAAAAGATGAACATCATACTTGTACATGATTTGGTTAATACATGTCAAACTATATGAAGAGAAAATTACTTGCTTATAATCCAATTACTGAGTCAAGATCACAGTACGAAAAATCGATAGTTTCGCCGATATTTCGACGAAATTATCGTTTTTTTGGGGCTGCGAAATTTTAGCACAATTCTAGATATTTATCGTCAATTTTTCGATTTTTCGGGTAAGATATTTTCGTTCAATTTGCAACTTTAAATGGTCATAATATCGCGACTTGAACTTTCAAAAATTAAACAACTTAAACTCAGCGCACACAGTGGGGTTCGAACCCCTCTCCACTCTGAATTTTTGCAGCCACTTAACCACCACGCTGCTCATGAATTTATGATTATAAACTATGGAATCTAGTATATATAATACTTGCGAGACTTTCAAAAATTAAACAATTTAAACTCACTCACGCTCTTGCATACAATGGGGTTCGAACCCCCTCTCCACTCTAGAATTTACAACCACTTCAGCACCACGCTGCTCATAACTTTGTGATTATAAACATGGAATCTAGTATATATAATACTTGCGAGCTGTTTTTCGAAATAGAAATTAACATAATTACTTATTGTTTTATATTGTTTATCAGTTACTTAATTATTTAATATAATTTATTTCTTTTCTATTTAATCAATTTAATGTTATTGATTATTTTATTATTCATTATAAGTACTTACATGACTAAATTCTCCTTCAAATTGTTACTTAATACTTAAATCTCTATAATAATTTTCATTATTTACTATTTAATTCTTCCTTGGATAAATTTATTTATGTTCTTAGTTAATTTTCAATCTTCACTATTATTTTTTAAGCATGGTAAAGTGCCTAATTTTCATGAAAAATCAAATTGGTTTACATCTTTAATTATTTTTCAATTTTTGATTAAACAATAAATATAAGAACGCATACCATGTCTAGTAAATAACATGAAATAAATTGTTGCTTAATCACTTAAATCTCTATAATCATTTTCTTTATTTCCTATTTAATTCTTCCTTAGATAAATTTATTTATGTTCTTAGTTCATTTTCAATCTTCACTATTATTTTTTAAGCATGGTAGAGTGCCTAATTTTGATGACAAATCAAGTTGGTTTACATCTTTAATTATTTTTCAATTTTTCATAAAATAATAAATATAACAACGTGTACCATGTCCAATGAAATAAGGTTACTCATGTATCTTATTATGAAATTTATAAAGTGTAAAATATTTTACTAAAAAATGATGAATAAATTACTAAGGGATATTTAATTCTCTTTCATTAATTACTCCAAATTTTCTAAGTCACAGAGTTTGTCAGCTCGCAGTATAATCAACTTAAATCACTCAAACTCACTATGCATTTCCTTCCAATTTTTTGTGTCAAAATAATAGATGATTGACTAAATAAACTTTTTCTAAAGTTTCATTAAAAATTTCCATGTATTTATCACAATTTCCGTGGTTTTCATCCAATTTTTATCGATATCGATATTTTCCTGATATTTCCATCGATATTTCCGTGTTTTTGAACCACCGATATTTCCGAAAGTATCGATATTTAAGACCTTGGTCAAGATACGTCACATTCCATGTATTTATCACAATTTCCGTGGTTTTTATCCAATTTTTATCGATATCGATATTTTCCCGATATTTCTGTGTTTTTGAACCACCGATATTTCCAAAAGTATCGATATTTAAGACCTTGGTCAAGATACGTCACATCATTTTTGGACATGAATTGATTAATACATGTCAAACTTGGTATTAAGAGAAGATTACTCGCTTATAATCTATTGCCAAGTCAAGATACGTCATGGCGTGAGACGGATCTAACATGATAAACAATACTAAGAAATATGTTATAGTATATAATACAAATACAGACTCTACCAGATTATAGAACACAAGCTTGAGATAATTTCATTCCACTTGCATGTTGTGTGTTTGTGCGTGGAGTAGGAGAAAGCAAGGAAAAACAAAATCATCAAAATCTTTGAATTACCAAACCTTGATCCGTTTACAAAGAGTACCTCCGACTAGAAGGGTCTAGCTGAAAAAAAAAATAAAGAGAAAGAAACACAATATACAATTTACATAAAGACAGCAGGCCCCAAAAACCTAAATGGGATAAAAATAAATGAAATCCACAAATTTTGTGAGGTCATATCATACGGTGCCGAAGGTGAAGCTCATAGTATTACCAGCTGAGGTTTCTGATGACATGGTTGAAATGAAGGTGGAAGTAGCAGCAGCTGAGGTTTCTAATGACAAGGTTGAATTGTCCTGGCTGTCTGAACCAGGGGACGCATTATAGGTACACATAGTAGTCATTGTGTCACCAGGCTTGGTATTCTGAGGGGGTCTTACTTTGAGATCCATGAAATCAGATATTAACCCTGGCTTTGTTATCTTATTATCGTCAACAGCCTTCTCACCTCTTAGCATCTTGACCACGGATGACATGGACGGCCTGAGCTTCGGAGTGTCTTGGGTGCAGAGGAGGCCAATCTTTAAAAACCTACAAGCTTCCTCGGCATCAAAATCACCGTTCAATGATGTGTCTACCAGTCCAACAAGCTCTCTCCGCTCGTAGACTTGCCATGTCTGCAACACAAGAATGCACTAGTAATTAATAGTGCCTATGCCTACAATAATTGATTGGTTATCTGCAGTGTAGAATTCAATATAAAACAAATAATCAAACATATTTTTAGGCGAAGTCGTTATGACATAAATGAATCAATGACTAAAACAATGAGTAGCATTTCAATAAAAATTCAGCCTTTTCCCTCATCACCGTGTCTTGCACACCTGCTCTTTGGTAATACAAGCCAACATGGCTATGAAGGAAGCTGTTATAACACACAACTCACACAAATTTGTAAAAACAATATCTGTACAAAATTGTCCAGCAACAAACGAATTGATGGGAAACAAGGTTGCAAACTTCAAAAGCCTTATCAGTTTATGTGCAGCATGTCAAAGACCAATTATTTTTCTTTTAAATACCAACAGGAGTTTAGCAGTACCCAAATTACTGTGATCACTTAAGCCATAATGATTTTTCTCCTTGACTCTATAATTTACTTTAACGAATTAAGAAACAAAAGGTCTTGTAACCAGGAAATATGAAAGCAAAACTGCATCTACCGAAATCACATGACACATGCAATTGCCATCCAATGTTTTTCATTTAAACAAATTGAAAGAAAAAGCTTGTAAGGACAGAATAAATCTGAAATTAATACCCTTTCAAGCAGATACTGTTCGTCAATTGGTAGTCGTGTATTTGTATTACATCTTCCACTGACTATTTCCACAAGGAGCACCCCAAAGCTATAAATATCTGCTTTCCTTGTCAATTGCCCTCGTATTGCATACTCTGGTGCCAAATAACCTCTAAAACCAGAAATATAGATGTAATTACAAGACAGTAAATGCTTGGATTACGATACATCAACAAAGATATAGACAGACATCCAAAGGAAGATTTAAATGGAGAAAGAAGAGAGAGCATTATTCATACATTGAACATAAAAATTAATACTAAGAGCTCATCCAAGAAGGATATTCTAAGAACTAAATGATAAATTTAAGAGCATATGCATATGATTTGCATGATAAAAATTAATACTGTTTTCAACTATTTCTTCTCAATGTGAATTTTGTCTCTCTGAGGAAAAATATTGTAGCTCTAGTTTGGAGCTAAAAATAGATTTGAATTTCAATTTCCGATTTTAAAAGGAAAGAGATCATCACAGCTTACATTGTTCCTGCCACACGGGTGCTAACATGGGTCATGTTGGGTGGAATAAGCTTTGCAAGACCAAAATCTGAAATTTTAGGCATTAGGTCTCTATCTAGGAGAATATTGCTTGCTTTGATATCCCTGTGAATAATATGTGGACGTACTTCCTCATGAAGGAAGGCAAGACCACATGCAATCCCGATGCATATTTCACGCCGAGTTCGCCAACTGAACTGGATATTACTGTGACCCCCACCTGAAACAAAACAGTTTAAGAACATAAGTTTCAAGAATAGAAAAATTGATCTCAGAAAAGGACTGAATAAGTTCTAATGGAAATAGACCACAGGATCTAAGATAACAGAAATTGCACAACTCATAATGTATAAGGCAAGAATACAGAACTATATACTTAAATTTATTCATGACAATTATTGCATGAGAACTTCTCCTTTGTCATACCCAAGCACATTAGGTAACACATTCGCAAATTTCACATGCACACGCATTAACTCACTCACTTGTAGACACCAGCAAGAAATTTCAATTCAAGAACAAAGCTAGGTAATCACCAATAAGAGTTTGGGCAAGACTATTATTCTCAAGGTAGTTGTAGACCAAAATTCTTTGGTTTTCTTCAACACAACAGCCGTAGAGCTTAACTAGATTTTCATGCTCTATTTTTGAGATCACGTCAATCTCTGTCAAAAACTCCTTCACCCCTTGTTTTGATTCAGCTGAAAGAACTTTAATAGCAGCCATTTTTCCATCTTTAAGTTGTCCCTGATGATTCACAATAGCAATTAAAATAGGTGTCATTCACAAGGTCCTGGGAGAAATAATATTTCAATTGAGTTCAATGCACCACAGGTGTATAAAACATATATTAAGACAGTAAATCTGAATATACCTTATAGACAGAACCAAAACCACCTTCCCCGATCTTATTGGCTGGACTAAAATCTTCAGTTGCGATTTTCATCTCTTTGTAAGTGTATAGTTTAACATCAGAAATGCCAGAGAGTTCTGTTTGCAGAGAAAACTTACTAAGAAACTTATGGGTGGGGAATAAGAAAAGTGTCTTATCTTAGGATATGAGCTTGTCAATGAACAATAATCTCATAAGAGTAATGCTACAGACACCACAATAAATTACAAAATTATGGATACCAACTGATGTGGTAACATTTCATTTGTTCATAATTGGTTTCTCTCTTGATCTCATCTATTTTTCACAACTAAGATCTTCTTGTCATGTCATTTTCCGCATCATTTGGTGAATAAAATTTGGGGAGAATTTTGGATCCTCTACTACTTATAAAAAAATATATAAGTATTTTGTAGGAAAATAATCTTTCCAGAAAATTATGAAGCTCCGCTATCATTACTATGATCAGCGTTGCAGCCTACCTTTATCAACATCAGAAACGGGTTTTCTTGATGAGTTCACCCCTCTACGTAAGAAGGAAAAACAACTCATAACTGTATGAACACTTCAAGACCTGCCAACCAATGTAAGAACACTATTATCCAGAAGCACAATTGTATGGAAATGCAATATCAAAGGATTTGAGTAAGATGTAAACTTTCAAGAATGAATCCAACGGCTCCAAATCGGGAACTAATTCAAAAACTTCATGAAAAATGAACTAATAAATTCTATGCAACAGAAAGAATTGTCCTTGTATCCCAACTAGATTTCATCCATTCATTCAGATTAAGTATGACATCACAGAGCAATAAAATATGCCAAAAACTAGATTAAAATGTGACTCACAAATTCATAACTAATGTTTCAAAAAGCCATTTACCCTTATTATCATTTTTGTTTCAAGCCTTCAACCTCTGACAATTGTCTGTCTAGACAACTTGGAAGTTGACAGGTCCGGAATAGAATAGAATTAATTTTCTTCAACTCCTGCTAATTATTTATAGTCCAGTACAATACAACACCGAATCAAGCATGCATTGACTCCGAAATTCTTTTTTTTCTTTGGAAACAACCAAAACTATAAACAAATATGCAGCTAATCTGGCTGCTTGATGATGATATTTAACTAAGAAGATCCAAATGAAGAACACTCATCATGTGGGCTATTCCAATCTGGTTGTGAATCCACCAGTTTACTAAAAAGGTGTCAACTTTAACATAACTAAAGTTTAACCAAAATGCAAAACAAACAGGTGAACAGGAGAGTTAAGAAAGGTTTAACAAAGAAAAAACATCATCTATGTAAATTAGAGACTTATTCAGGCAAACCCAACTTCAAGAAATCAAAAGGTGACAGAAAAATGATTCAGAAAATAAAAAGATAGAAGATTGAAAAAGACCCAGAATAGAAAATCACCTCAGGCGCTCAGAGAAAGAAAGAAAGGGAGGTTCTTGGCTTGTTGCCGGTGAAGAGAAACTATGGCCTTTGGTCTTTGGAGAAGACAATAGAAGAGATCAGAAATAGGAAGCAATATTTGGGTTTTGTGAATTAATGTGAAAATGTGATTGGGAAGGTTAGTCAGTCTCGGCGAAGTCTATATTGGTTGCGTACGCCCCCTTTGAATTTTCTTTCTTTCTGAGAGAGTCACTTCAAAAACCGAGCCAAAGGCAGCCATAGATATAAATTTACTAAAACCTCATTCATAGAATTTTTTTTGAATTTTCTTTCTTTTTCTTTCTTTGAATTTTTTTTATAACTAAAACCTAAATTTACTAAATATAGGAGATATAAAATAATGCTTAAATTTGGGTTTGGGGTGTGTTTTATTTACGAATTGAACATGAAATCAAATAGAAGAAGTGGCGCGTATAGCAGTTACTTGTACACAGTAGAATGGAAATTGTCAAAAAGTCAGATTCAAGTGTCATCCAAGACCCAGTCGTCACTTGGTGCTGCTTACACGTGTTAATAAATATGGAGTTTTCTTCAAGTTTCTGCTGTTCTTTTGCTTTTTCTATTAATATTTATAAGATTATCTAGTATCCTATTGCCATGTTTTTTTTTCTACGGAGTACTGAGAAGATAATTTAAACTTAGATGCTAAGAAGCGGTTCATTGCTCTAGTCAACTGACGTAATATTCATAATAGGTAAAACGACTTGAGTTTATAACTTATTTGCTCATTTTCTTCATTTGTCAAAATTATAGCATTTCCATTCATAGAATTTGACTAGTTAAAGCAACTTGAGTTTACGACTTATTTGCTCATTATCTTCATTTGTCAATTTATAGGATTTCTCATTCGTAGAATTTGACTCCGCATTTCTCATTCATCAACTTACTTTTCATGAGGCAAAATTTATAGCAGATGCCTACTAGTTTGGTTCATCAATTTAACTCCGTGCATGTTTCAGCTCTTCCTACCTTTAAATTTGATTTAGGTGTCCTATAAACTTCTCCTTATAATTTACTTTTTTGTTTCTAAAAAAAACTTTTCACAATTTACTTGCATATAAGAAATGCATGAAGCAAATAAAAACTCACTAATGCAGGCATGAGCTTAGCTAAGTTAGTTATAGCGGATGTGCTTCTGAGTTTGCACTCGAGTTCGAATATTCCTCCTCATAGTCTAGATTAGATTAAAATATAATATTATTTGTATAAATAAATAAAACTCACTCACATTTTGCAATATTTCTATTAGAATAATAGTAATTAAAGATTATATATCTTGTAGCTTCTTCTTTTTTTTGGACATAAGATTTTTATATTATCTAGTTCGAACAAAATTAATCAAGTTCCTTCTTATTTGAATGTGCAGTAAAAATTCACAATACGAGAACATGTATGTTTGACTTGAAAGAAAAACCCCACTCTTAACTTAATTAAAACAACTGGTTTATTATTTGAATTATCAAAGCAAATTAGTATCCATATATTAGGGGTGGTTGCGGTTCGGTAACCGCGAATTTTTGCCCAAACCGCAAACTGACCGACTATTTGCGGTATGGTGATTTTTGAAACCGCAAAAAGCGGTCGGTTACCGCGAATTAGCGGTTTAAAACCGCAAGTTCTCAAGCATTCACAAAAATATAAATTCACAACCTAAATAAATAAATACACAACCTCAACTTCTCAAGCATATATAAATTCACAATCTATTTAACTTCTGAAGCATTCACAACCTAAAGAAAATTAAAGTTACAATTCCAAGCATTCCAATTAAAGTTAAACTTCTCAAGTATTCCAATTCCAAATCCTTTAAAGTCACAAACCAAAGGAAAATGCAAAGCAAAATGAATTAAAGTTACAACTAAAAGAAAAATCCAATTCAAAGTTAATTAAAGTTACAAACTCAAAGAACAATGCAATGCACCAATGTTACAAACTCAAGTGTTGGTGGTGAGTGGATTTGAATAACCCCGTTGTGTTTTTGAGCACCAATGTTATTTACAAATAAAACAACCTAGTTTAGTACATTTAATTATAAGAAGATCAAATAAAACAACATAGATTGACTATACTTTGCGGTTTGCGGTAACCGCAAATTTTGAAAATCAAATACCGCAACCACAACCGCAAATGCGGTTCGGTTTACCGCGATCGCGGTTTCATTGCGGTAAATAATCGGTTGGTTTTTATGATTTTTCGGTCTAAAATGCCACCCCTAGCATATATGAGCAAAGTTGGTTAAAACGAATGCTCTCTTCACTCTGCATCCAAATTCATATCCTCATTTTCATAATTTTTATTAAATTAAAGAAAATATTATTTATTTAATAAATAAATAAATGAAGTGACGGATTGTTGGCTCAACCACGTCCTACTTATTCAGCGTTTTCACACTTCCATTCCATCGTCGTCTTGTCCTACAAAAGTCCTGGCTGCTCGATGATGCTGATGAAATTATTGTTATTGACTGCGTAAGATGAGCTGCCGCGTAAAGAATGTATTGTCCGTACAGCCACCAACTCATTACAGTCCCAACTAAAAGCATAATATAATAATAAATATATCCTAGTGGTGGGTTCAAGGGAGACCTTTTTTTCTTCCTTCTTAATTTCTTGATCAGAGGGTTTTACATGTTGAAGACTTTGGATTCTCTTTCTTCAAAAGCTATTAAGTTCACATTTTAGCGACTTTGAATTACGACATGGACCCTGGCGTGCTTGTTTTGTAGAGAGGAGGAGGGGGTTGGGGGGAAGAATGATGAATGTCGAAATTAGGGTTTATTTTCCACATAACAGAAGAACCAAGATGATGAAGACTTGAAACTCTTATGGCCCTACTAATGTATGCGTGCAACTCTTGAATTTTACTCTATTTTCTTGTTTGTTGTGGTTATTAAATTATCTTTTGTTGCTTTTACCGTTCTTTGTGTTTTAAAATATATGTCTTGTTATGTGTTTTCATTAGAGCTTGAAGTTCATTTTCTAGTACCATCGTTTCTGCATGCGCGTGAAAGGGAAATAAGTTTATTAAAAATGTAAAAACTTGGTTTATTTTCAAGAGAAGAACCGAGATAATCGAAAAAGTATTTATTAGAAACTTTAGTATCAATTCAATGCCATCTACTCCATTCTATAAATTTAGTCACCAAAAGTAGCAAAGATGCATTCATTCTCAATGGATTTGATTTACTAAATTTTGAAGGAGAAATTACCACAACCCTGTTTGGTTTAATGGGTTTTGAGAAGGGATCTTGGCATCTACTCTTGCACTGGTCTCAGACGTATTTTATGGAGACATAGCAAGGGGACCAAGTCCACCAAATCCAGAGTCCAAAAGGATATTAAGAATGTGGGACATCGAGATAAGCCTACCCTGCCTATACTATCTGAAAACTCGTGGCAGCTATGAAGTAGTTTTTTTTTTTTTTTTTTTTTTTTTTTTTTTGGTTTGCTATGAAAGGTCTTCTTACTTTGGCATTCTTCTTGTTTTTTCCTTTTGTTTTGCTAAAATTAGAGCATTTCACACGGAAATGTCAAATTGCCAAGTAAATTGAATAGTTAAATTCTACATGAAGGTACTCTAGAAGTACCGTCAAAATTGCCGAACCATAAAGCATAAAGAGAATTGTTGTTTTAACATTTTTTTAATCTAGGGTATCACTATGGTTTAATCTCTCTTCTAAAACTTTACCCATCCTATGGACCATTTGCTTTTAGAATTATAATAAAGACATATTATATTACATTTTGTGTGTTTCGGGTGATTATTATTTTACGATTGTATCCTGTTAGATTGAACTTTTGGAATCAACAATGTTTTGTTTTGTTTTGTTTTGTTTTTTTATTTGACTAATTGACCTAACTCATATTTGTTATTTGTATTTTTTTTTTTATATTAAAAGATTTAAAGATGGCACGTGATTTTATTGGTAGAATCTTAGGCTGCTCATTCATGCCTATATTTTTATTAATGGGTGGGGAATTTGAACCTCTTTCAGGCATGTTATGCCATCTCCAAGTGAGGACTATATCATCAAATATAACCTAAAATTCTCAAAACTTATCTCCAATAGTGGGCTACACAAAAGGCTACAAAAAAAAATGAAAAGAGGACACACAAATGGCAAATTCCTAAAAATCAGGCCACATGTGGCCCTTTGGCTAGTCCGGACTAAATAATTGGATGGACCCATCTGCTTTTTTTTCCATATATCAACTAGGTCATTTATGACCATTGATTAAAAAGTCGTTGCAAATCAAAGGTTTGGAACAACTCTTACCTCATTCTTACATAATTTCTCACAACATCTTCATCGTTTTACATATTATTCTTCCTCAATTTCATCGTTTTACATATTTTCTCACATTCTCTTCATTCTTTTACAAACTATCCTTCATCTTTTTCCATTAAAAATAAAAAATAAAAAATAAAAAATAAAAAATAACTCTTTCCTCCCATTATTAGAAAAATGGCCAGTACATTCAACTGTCATCCTACAATACTAGTAGAAGATGATGATTATTTTTAATTGTTAAGTTGTTGTTTCTAAATTAATGTTTAAGCTGTTGTTTTTAAATTAATATTTAATTTGTTTTTAAATGAATTTTTAAGTTTTTTTTTTTCTTCATAAATAGTAGTTTAATTAAATTAATTAATTAACATAATATATTAAAAATTATTAAAATATTACATTTAGCTCTTTACTATTGCTAAGAATGTTAAAATATAGCCCGACACTATTTTTAATAAAAATCATTTTTCAGAGGCTATATTTAGTCCTCCCCACCTAAGATGCGGCCTTAAGATCAAGTTTGAATCTTCAGTGGTGCAGCAGAATCCAACCCAATCGGCCCTACATTTTCCATTAACTACTACCAACTACCTTTTCTACCGGGATGTGGGTTATTCACCCGAATGCTTACTGACTATCTCTCTGTCTTTCTCTTCTCATACACACTGAGCAGACGGTGGTGAGGAAAGAGCACAACAAAAGAAGAAAGAACATATGATTATGAATAGCACTAAGGTTGCTGTGGTGGGAAGTGGAAGTAAAGCATCAAAACCCATTTGGCATTCCCTTAATTTGTATTTTGTTTTCCTTTATCAAAAAACTTATCTGATCAGTACATTTTTCTTTAAATTTAACACAGTTTCAGGAGCAGTCTGTGCATCAAATCTTGCCAGAAATGGAGTATCTGTGACATTGTTCGAGTCTGCCAGAGGCCCTGGTGGCCGCATGTCTCAAAGAAGGTACTTTTTCTTGTTTGACATTCGTTTTCACTTTTAAAGTTTTGATTTGGTTGAGGGGTGAGGACTCAAATGTTCAATTGATTATCAGAAATGGGTTTTCCTCATTATCCTCTGTTTGGTTAATGAGAATATTTGGGCACACTGAATTAGTTCACGGGTTGTTGATTGTAAGAAGTCCAAAAGAAAAAGATTGAGGTGCTACAAGATGCTAATTAACAACTTTGAACTATAAATTGAATGTATGTGATTGGACTTTGTTCTCTCTATGATTAGGGAAATAGCCATAGAGTTTTACTAAATTCTCAGAAAGAAAAAAAAGAACAAAAGAGAGAGTTTTATAGAAGTTGTTTCAAATTGATATGACTGCTTATTTGGAAATGCCATATCGGTTTACAGCCCTTTTACCAATTGATATGACCTGAGAAAAAAAGAGTTTTAGAGAAACTGTTTTCAAACTGATACGATTGCTTATTTAGAAAGGCCATATCAGGTGATCATTTACAAACTGATATGACCACTTAGTACATTTACCATTTCCTTAAGGAAAAAGGCCTTTGATTTTGAAGTTATTTGGAATTTCATTTGCAGATATATTGAATGTGACAACAAGTTGTTCAAAATGAGTTTCTTTTTCTTTTCAATTACTAAAAACTTAGTTATGATATCCATTTCCAATTCATATAGAGAAGTTGCTGAAGATGGGAAGGAGCTATTGTTTGACCATGGTGCTCCATTTTTCAATGCCAACAACACTGAGGTTCTGGGTCTTGTTCGTGAATGGGAAACAAAGGGTCTTGTTGCTTGCTGGAGAGAGAAATTTGGGTGTTTTGATCGTGTTTCCAACAAATTTGTGGACCTAGAACAGGTTTGCAAGTGCCTCTTTAATCAACAACATTGTTTTATAATGGTTGTGAAATAGGTTGGCTCATGGTTATAGTGATATCTATGTTTCAACTTGACTAAAATCATAAATCCCCTTCCCCCCCTTCCTTGCCCTAGATCAGTTGCTATGTTTGATGAATTGGTTTGTTTTTCTAGTATTGTTGTGTTAAGTTTCTTTTCCACAAAAAAAAAAGTATGGTTGTGATGAGTTGGTTCCAAACCACAGTAATATGACTTTTTGGATATGGGTTATGCTCTGTGATGTTCTTTTATGTTACTTGGCCTTATAATAATCGAAATTGTTATTGTTGTTGCTATTGTTTCTTCTGCTGGGCCTTTCTTAAATATATGTTCCCAGCTGTATCCTCCATTTTATAGTCGAGACATGTCATTTCAGCCAATCTGAATATCAATTTCATTTAGGAAGGATTAATAGGTAAGAGATATGTGGGTATCCCAGGCATGAACTCTGTATGTAGAGCATTGTGCCACGAACCTGGTATGTTCTAAATTCTAATTCTACTAATTTTCTGTTGGCATGATTTCCATTCAGGGTTAAATATGTACTTGCAAAATTGCTTATTTTGCACTGTATTTGTCCTTAGGAGTGGAAAGTAAGTTTGGAGTGAGTGTTGGGAGATTGGAATGGCTAGATGATGAGAATTTGTGGTCATTGATTGGTTTAGATGGGCAAAATCTTGGCCGGTTTAAGGGAGTAGTTGCAACAGACAAAAACATTGTTTCGCCCAGGTTTACAAGTGTTACAGGGAGACCACCACCTCTTGGTAATGAATGCAGTCCTTCAAGTTCTTTTTATTCAAAACATGTGTAGAAAAATTCCTGCAGTGTTTTGTCTGTTTAAAAAGCTATGTTTCTTTTCATGACGAAGAACTGTTTCTTAGGGGCAGTTCTTGGTAAAGATTATCACTTTTGATGGTTTATTTTATGCATGCTTTGTCTTATTGGTGGGTCATATTGCTGATCTTGTCCTCTTGACTAGTAATTTAAGTGGAGGCTACAACCATCATCTAGCAGCAAATGCATATTTGTACCACTATAACACATAACTTCCTTCCTTCTCAAAAGCAGTTGGACTCTCACCACGGAAGAAAGGATACTTGAGTAGGATTACATAGAATAATATTTGGAATGCTTACAGTGTGTGATTGGATCAAATAAAGCCTCCTACTTTCTGATCATTTACTTGGAACTTGACCACTTTATTAATACACCCATAAGCATGCCCACTTTTGTTGTTGCTAAAGAATAGCAATAGCATAAAAAGCACCGCAATCCTAATCATTTTGCAATCTGTGCACTGCAGATTTAAATTTAGTTCCAGAATTGGCAGTTAAGTTGAATGATATTCCTGTCCGCCCATGCTTTGCTCTCATGATAGCATTTGCAGAGCCTCTGTCATCAGTAAGATATTTATTATGGCATTCCTTAAAGCTATATGGTCATCTGAAACCTTTCTGGACTCATAAATTCCATTTGGTTCATCATCTTTTCTTTTCTCTTGGGATGCTGGGTTTGGGCTTAGTGTATCCCCCACAACCTTTTATGTCACATTTTTAATTTGAACACTTTTTATACTCCATTTGAGGTTTACCTGGGCTGAACCCGGGGCCTTATCTCTGACTCAGATACCCTTTAAAGGCTTCTTAATAAAAAATTCTGAAGTTCTAAGCTGGGCTCATTGTGACAGCAGCAAGCCTGGCCGTTCCACCTCTAGGTACTTATGGAATATAACCATCCACCTAGTTTGTTTTTATTTTTTGTTTTCATTGTGTTTATCATGTAACTAACTTCCATTGCTTTCTTTCTTTTTTAAGTGAGCGATGGGTTTTGCATTCAACAATGGAGTATGCTCAGACTATAATTGCTCAAACTGGACTTCAGAAACCTTCAAATGCAACATTGACAAAAGTGGCTGAAGAACTCTTCCAAGAATTACAAAGCATGGGACTTAATATCTCACAGCCCCTTTTCAAGAAAGCCCATAGATGGTCAGTACATTCTGGAGCTCAATGTTTTAGTGCTAGTTGTCGGATCAGATAGAAAAACATAAATAAAAGGACTTTTTTGGCCAGCAATAAAAGGACTGTTTGAGCTCAGGCCAATCAGTTCAATAAGGGAGACTCTTAGATTAGTAGGTCAGAAAAGATAATCCAGGTCAAATATTACCTTCATTTCAGGCTGAAGCCATTAATTTGACTTCTTCTGATCTGTGGACAATGTGTGAACCCAAGCCACAGAACACGTACCTTTGAATGTTTTCCAAGCCTAAAAATAGCAGTGAAATGAAATGTTATAGGTTCAAAAAAGGTTTTGCATCAATTTGTCAATAGAAGGTGTAGTATGTATAGTTATTATTATTTCCTCTTGTATTAGTAAAAAGTCCACTAAAATTTTGAAAAAACTTGGTAGTTGTGGATCTGAAATAATTATGGGAAGGTGTAATCTCAAAATCATAGTCTAGAAAAAAAGAAAAAGAGTATTGAATTCATCCTTGATGCTCTGCAATGAATTAAAGCTATGCGATACCTTTGGATTTTGTTGACAGGGGAGCTGCTTTTCCAGCTACAAGCATAGCCAGAGAGGAGAAATGCCTTTGGGATAAGAACAAGAGGCTTGCCATTTGTGGTGATTTCTGTGTTAGTCCAGATGTTGAAGGTGCTATAGTTAGTGGCATAGCTGCAGCTTCAAAACTTACAGATGTCCTCAGCTGCTTATGATATTCCTAGTGTTATGACTTATGAGTTTCTTTTCCTCTGGATTTGGTATTTACTACTGAAATGTGTAACATGGCTTGACTCTAGTAGGAAAATAATCTCAAATTTATAAGCAAATTCCAGATCATTTCAAGTTCTTGTAACAATAATGAATCAATGTCTACTTCCATATATTCCAATATGGATGAATTGATTCATATGATACTGTGCGAGCTCATCTGAGCTTTAACCACCACTTCCTGTTTTTTCTTTATTAATCTAATGTTTGAGCTGAACGTAATCGTAATAGTCGGCTCTGTATATGTTATTGAGAATGTGTCGATAGTATTGTTGCTAACAAAATAAACCAACGTGTTATCGATACATTTTTGTCAACATCGATAAAATGTTGATGTGCATATTAATAATCCGATTTTTAATTAAAAACCGGACCTCGTGCAGGGAGAATTTCTGCTTAGTGTAATATTAAAGAAACAAAATGGTATATATTTTTTTTAATGATGTTACAGAAGCAAAAACACAAAACAATGGAAAGAGTTTAAGATGGTGTCCAGGTTCAATCTCTAAACCCATTAATCTCTTATCCATTTGGCCTTAGTCCACGTGTCGATTTAAGATTGGATTGGCACTTGCCAGTCTCCAAGAGAATTGAGAGCAAAAGAAATTTCCCATTTTGATAATGTTTGTAACATCATATCCAGAACCAGCCACAGAACCACAGCCACGTGTCAGCCCAGCAATCACTTTTCCATGGTTAGTGTTATTATTATCAGGGGACTTAGATGCCACAAACCACACGATAGCCAATCATCAAAGTTGTAGAGAAAGCTAAAAGCTCAGAGCCTGAGAAGACAGAGAGGGTGAAAATGGCAGCCTCAGTTATGGCTTCAGTGAGTCTAAAACCATCTCCCTTCACTGTTGAGAAGTCAGCAGTGAGAGGCCTTCCCTCTCTTGCCAGGACTTCTTCTTCATTCAAGGTTCAAGCCAGTGGTGGCAAGAAGATCAAAACTGACACACCCTATGGTACATATACATACTCGCCCTTCTGCCTTAAATTAATTTATTTCCATACATGTGAATTTGATAATACTATTTTGTCGGAAAAAGTTATGAATTCAAATCTCGTGGACAAACAGATGTTAAGACTATATGTACATGTTTTTGATATGATAAATAAAATTAAAATGTGCTGCAGGAACCGGTGGTGGCATGAACTTGAAGGATGGGAAAGATGCCTCCGGGAGGAAGCCTACGGTAATTAATTGGTCTTTATTATTCTTAATTTGTTACGATTTCTGTATATAAATAACCAGGTTGTGCTAGTGCAAGTCTTGCATCAGTTTATGTACTTGGCTACTATGGGTTATTTGTAGGGGGAAAATCACAGTCTGAAACGCGTGCTTGAATTCTTCTTTTGAAATTCTAATGAGTTATTTTTGCATGCGTCTGTGATTTGTTCGTAAGGAGGAAGGAACCAAGCAGTGTTCTTGTAGGAGAGGCTTAGTGACCAGAATTCTTTCACATGCTTTTCTTCCTTTCCTTGATCTTCTTTTAGTTCAGAGCAGCACTCTAGACAGATTAATCCTATGACAACTACAACTTTCTTCGTTTTTTTTTTTTTTTTTTTTTTTTTTTTTTTTTTTTTTTTTTTTCTGGCACTCCACTCTGCTTGTAATTTTTTGACCTCTAAACTTTGGTTCAGGGTAAGGGTGTCTACCAGTTTGTAGACAAGTATGGTGCTAATGTTGATGGCTACAGGTACAACTCTCAACCTTCATTCATTCAATTTGTGTTGTGGATTTGGATTTCCTACTTCTCTTGGTACTACTTTGTTTTTAATATGAGTCGTTTATTTCCAATTTAAGGGTTAAAATCTACATGTCAAATTGTTCATGATTATTTTAACTCACTGGCACCATTAATTTTATATAATCACATATATCATGTTTTTGAAACCTCCATAATACTACTAGACTATGGTTTTGAGAATGACTATCCTTTTAGTTGGGTGATCCCCTCTAACCCTTTAAGTGGATAAAGCTTCAACTTACCACAATCAATTGTTGAATTAATTTCTGATGATTGATATGCAGTCCCATCTACAACAGAGATGAATGGTCACCATCTGGTGATGTTTATGCTGGGGGTAAGCAACTTCAACTTTATAAGAATTTTTGTTATAATTCTGCAATTCAGGTCGACGGGGTTTAATCCAGTGGAAAATTCCGCAATTCAGAAAGCACAGTTGTATTATCTTCTTGCTTAGTTAATGTATTATTAATACTTATGGAGGTGAAATTAATATCTATGCATGGAAATTGCAGGTACTACTGGCTTGGCCATCTGGGCTGTTACCCTACTTGGCATTCTTGCAGGCGGTGCTCTTCTTGTCTACAACACAAGTGCTTTGTCACAGTAGAATTATTAATTAATCCTCTGTTGTTGTAATGTATGTGCTGTTAATTACTATAGCCTACCCCAACTAGCTCTCCTGATGAAGAAGAAGAACATTAAAGAAATACTCTGTGGAAATCTTAATTGTAATGTTTTGGCATGGATTGTTCAATTTGATGCCTGTAATATTGTGCTGGACTTCTTCTCTTTCATTTATTTATATGTTTTTTTTTAATTTAGTTGGATTTATGTAAAATATAAAAGCTGCTTGGTGTGCATGTTATAGAAGAAGAAAGAATGCTTGGAATTATACTCATTTTGAATCATAATCTTTTAGTTGTGGCAAAAGCATGGCCATCTCAAACAGAAGCCTGCCCTTTAGTTATTGCCTAGAATATTCTGTGTATGAAATAAAGGAAAATTAGATTAGAGCATGGCTTCGATCTTAGGTCATCTCCAACGGTAGGTTAAATCCTCGAATTTAGCATTTTCACACCCAAAACTCATCTCTAGCAAGTGGGCCAAACCCAGTCAGTGAGCCGAAGGGGCCAAATGCTGGGCCAAATGTGGCCTGATTCTTTAGTGGGCTATATCTTTTTATATTATTATCTTTATTCAAAAGCACCCAATGGCAAAGACCAATGTCTCTTTGGAGAAAAACTTCCTTGGCACGGGGATGCCAAGGTAAGTTTTCCACATCAGTATCCCTAGCAAATTAAAAAGTGACACATGTCAAAACTTTAAGACTTTGAAATTTTTTTTATTTTTTTCACCTCTGCCGCCCCTCCTCCGTGTCCTCCTCCCTTGCAACTCAAACCCCTCCCATACTAAAAACTAATAAAATATTGAGGGAATTATGATTTAACCCTATACTGCTAGAGACGGTAAAAATATAGTCCAACACTTTTCCTTAAAAAACTATAAATAGTGGGTTAAATTTTATGAGTAAGCTATATTTAGTCTTCCACTATTGGAGATTGCCTTATACCCCAAGAAAAAGGGAAAAGAGCAGCTAAAAATATAGAGATAAATGGGATATTTGGAGACAGAAACAGGGAGATTGATTGCATTTTATCTCAATCTATCTTTGGTTATATAGAGATAAATGTCTTTTTGTAAGATGATGGCATTAACATAAAAATATATATAGTATAGTATGTATGTATAACATTTTCCTCACACTACATATGAAAGTCTTACTGATATGAAAAAAAATTCATGTGAATATTGTAATAAGGTGGTTGTATATAACCGGCATATACAAATTCATTGAAAGTTTTTTTTTTAGTACAAGTGATAGTCAAAATTAAAGGGTACACTTGTGTGGTATTATTATTTCTTTGCTAATTTTTTATTATTATTATTATAAAATAATTATTGCTTTGGTCGCCAGAATCTAGACTCTTAATGTAGAAATATACATGCATATGGAGTTGGTTTGGAAATGTAATGGTATTTTTTTGGCAAAAAACAAAAAATTCAAAGGGTATTTTCCCATATCAACATTTCCCTTTGGTATTTTTAAAATAATTTAGTTCAGAGTAACAACCAACTTTGAATACCAAACCCAACGAAATTTTTTAACAAATTATTATTATAATGCAGTAACTCTGGGTTTAGTTGTTTAATTTGCTCTTGATGGTATAATTAAATGAGAAGGTTCATGTTAACTTATATATCTACGTACACACATAACCAGTTCTTACTTCAAATAAAAAAACTTCTCAATCACTAATCTTACTTTTAAAAAACTTCTCAATCATTAACCTTTGTGTGGGTTTGAACACAAAACTCTACTGGTTCTGAAAACCAGTAGATTTTAAGAGTGGGTGGATTTGGCAAGAACTCAATATGTTTTAAAATGTCATCTTCCTCTGTTTTTTTCCACCCTTTGAAAGATGACAAAACACAGGGACCCTTTTGTTCATCTTTTGTCATCTATCTCTTTTTCAACTGCGACCAATCAAGAGAAAAGTTGCATAAATTATGGGAGACTTGGGAGTTAGCCATTTCTGAATGCACCCCCCAATCTTCCAAGTCTCCATGTACTTAATGAAATGGCCACCAAATGCACCATATTGTGTCTTGATTATTTCCCATATATAATTTGAGAGACTTGGAAATAGGTTCATCATGCATGTACAAAACTAATAATCAACGGGATTTATCACAATGGAAAAAGACCTTGACTGACAAACCAGAAGTCTCATGTTCAAAACTCCATGACATTATAGTTATGTGTGTGTAGTTTAGACTGTACTTAAAAAAAAGTTAATTAATACCCCAAAGCTACGCACAAATCAGTCAACTTTTTGACAATCTTATTAAGGCAAAAAAATTTCTTCAGGAGAAGAATCCAATGCTGCTGCCCTAAGAAATTTTGTCTGCGAATCCTTGTGCTGAGCTCACAAGGATTTTGCTCTCTCTCTCTCTCTCTCTCTCTCTCTCTCTGTTTTGTTTTTGCCCTTCTATAGAGGAAAAAGACAGTAAGAAAATCTACAAATATGATCGAATATACTTTTGTTGTTGTGTTATGTTTGGAAATACACTAGCTTAGCCAAACAGGCATTCATCTTTCTTTAAGAAAAATAAAAGTTCAAAATAAAAACGAAAAATCCAAAGGAAGAGGGAAAAATGTCCCAAGTGTCACCTCATATCGTATTTAAAAAATTTATAATTTTTAGTTTATTGAAATATAAATAATCAATCTTAAAAGATTGTCACAGAAGAGTAGATGGAACCTGGAATTAATTAACAATGACTAGGTACCATCACCACCTACTAATTAAGACAACCATGTTGATTACAAAGCATATTTATATACACATAATGAAATTGAATATGAACACACTAAAAACAAAACATTGAACAAAATGACCTACCAAATTTCATCAATCTTTTTATATATGCAAATGGATTGGAGAAGGGGGGATTCGAACACAGGACCTCGAGTGCGTATATAACTGCTCTTAATCACTTGAGCTACCAGTCTTCTTAGAATTTCAACGTTATTAAATACTAACTCTCTTGAAAATAAAAAAGTAGCTCCCATCCCATGCATGGTTTGTGATTGTAACATTCCACAATGGAGGCTATATTACCTACGTGAACTGTGATGAATGGTAAAAATACAATTGACAGTCAAATGCAGTGCTTAAATAGCCCAGATGCAAATCTTACTAACACGAAATACAAGCGTACTTCTAACTTTTAATTTATTTACAACAACCTTTTTTCGGTTTTGTTTGAATACTCTACATGAAATGAGATCAATAGTGGCTCCAAATGTTGGGCATACCAACTTCAGATAGGTAGTTTTCTGAGCTACTTCCTGCGCCTAAGCTTGGTGGTGATGAGCCTTTCACATTCGAATTAGGATAAGAACTAGTTTCTTCCATCTTGGTAAGGTGACTCAAAACAGCTTTTAGCACCTTTTTGTCACATGAAAAAGGGTCAAGAAAACTGGTCACATTTGGCAGCGCCCCAAATGTGGCTGGGTTGTTATTATTGTTCTTGGTGGGCATGTTTGGTTCCAAATGAGCACCAGTGATGTCAATGTGTGAGAAAATTGGGCTGGTTTGGCTTTGGGAGAAAATGGAGAAGCAGGGCACTTGCTCATACTCATGATGAGGCTGAGGCTGAGGCTGAGTCTGAGGCTGGCCATCAAAACTGATGTAAGAATCCATCAATGCAGGCAGAGAAGAATTGCTTGTGTCATCATAGCAGCTAATTCCCATGCTGGGTTTGGCAGCAATTTCTCTGTTTTTACAAAACACTCTGCATAAAACCCAATCTTCCTGCACATATATACATTGCCAATAGTGGAAATTTATGTTTGTTAATTAACCCAAGTTTGTTATTGAAAACAAAACTAATTAACAAGCTGAATTCATGTGATTAGGCAAAAGGATAAATAATTAGTCCTTGGACTTTAAATAAAAATGAAATTAGAATGAGCTGATGAAAAATTAAGTATATATTAGACTTCCCTAAGATGTTCCATATAATATGAAATAGGATCTGCTTAGGTCAGCTACCATCAAGATAAAATTTTGCCTATTAAGTCAGCAGTCATGACAAGTGGACATATATGGGTTTCCCTGTATATATCAATAATATTTTTTTTTGGTGGAAAAAGTCAAAGATCTTATTATAAATCATGGAAATTCTTTTGTAAGTACCCACTTGCCAGTTGCCACCCAATAATCCATTTAAAATTCTCAGCAGAATTGAAAATTTGAAAAAAAAAACCCCTATGTACGGCTTAGACTACATATGAGAGTTGACATGTATATGTTGCAGTAATTACTAGGATCAACTGTTAATCCACACATTAATTGTTTCGTAACGTTCTAATACGATTGAAATTATCAAAAAATGAAGCATGAAGAAGTATTTGTTAAAATTTGATGTGCCATACCTTGTGAGAAGAGATTTTAGGCGGACCAAAGGGACCTTCAAGCCGAAATTCATGCATGACCCAGTCGGATTTTCTGCCTTTGGGGGCTCTACCTTGGTAGAAGACCAAGGTTTTTCTCATCCCTACAAGGCTTCCTTTGCGAAGGATTGGCCTGTCTTTTCCTGTGGCCTTCCAATACCCTGCTGCAGTTGCACGGTTTGTTCTAAGTCCTGTTGCATATTTACGATCCCGCTGACTGTAGAAGTACCATTCCTTGCCTCCCACACATGCGTTTACTGCAAAATTAAACATCACCCAAGATTTTCATACGCGTATTCATGTAAGCATGTACGTACATGTATATGTATGATGTATGCATGTATGTATGTATGCAGCACATTAAGCTTGTTTGATTGCAGCACTTTCAGGGCTCAAAATGAGTTCAAAGGTCACCTTGTCATTTAAGGGCTATACCAGCTAGCTATGACCCCAAACATGCACTGACTTTTTCCTTGCGATGTATGTATGTATGTATGTATGTATGTATGTATGTATTCGTAGCCTTAGTAAATTTTTGAGATCAAATCTGGTTGTTTCGGTATTAAATATGAACTTTTATGTATGCAATGATATCAAGCGAAGACTTCTTGATTGCCAGCACATGGCGACAAAAAGCATTGGTGGTGACTCAGCATCATCCATGGCCAAAATAGCTGAACTATATCCAACTATTATGCAGTTGGGGGGTCAATATCCAAGTCTGAATAGAAAATTATTAAACATAATGAACTGCCAATTGCCTAAGTCACAAAAGGGTTTCTCTTTATTCTTTTACTAATTCACATGAGATTTCTTTTATTTAAATTGTGTCATGGCATGGTCATGAATAATACATGGAATAACTGGAATATTCCCCTTTTTTTAATGAATATATATATGTGGAATTCTAATATTATTCTCGAACAAATTCTAACGAAAGTATCACTATTACGCAAATAAATGATTGTCAGCTATCGATGCATACAAAGCTCCAAGACTGATAATTGTGTGCTGATAACGGTTAGGAAGCAAACATCTATTGGGTAACTGTTACCTGAGAGGATAATTAACATAAAAGTTTGAAAGAAGAAGATTTGAAAATTCAAAGGAGATATGATTAGAGGATGATGGCGACAAGCCAAAGGGCCTTTGAATGGTTTGGGTGAGGATTGAATGTGAAAGATTAATTCTTTCCAACCCGATTGTATACACGCGTATGGCTATAATGGGATGGAAACTAGACTTTGGGGGCTTGCTTTGTTATCACAATCACTATCACAGCTTTTGGTTGAGAAAATACCAAGAATGTCCATTTCTTCTAAAAGCAGTGAATGAGAAATATTTGTATTTTTTGGACAAACTAAGTGAAGATAGGGCAGGGCCATGGGGGAATGAATTGGCATATAGATATTTAGGGGCTTCCGGAGGATTCAATGCAGCTTATTGTGTAGCTTGCTCTCCCCACCTCAAAGATATATATAAAATATTGATTGAACAAAAAGAACTAAAAACATTTATGACACGTTCATATATAAGTGATTGACAGCCGTAAATAAGTGTGAACTACTTAAATGGGGCCTTACATCCATCAAACATGGATGATTCACACTAGCTAAAGTTCGGTAGATTAACAATATTCATTAGTGGTTCGTGACGGTAGAAGTCAGCTCTACAGAACCTAGCTCATTACTAATTAGTAATTGGGGATTGTTCTAAGATTGATTAATTAAAAGGAGTTCAATTAGCATTTGGGAGAAAGATATGTAACTTAGAATCCGTCAAACAACTTGCATATTATTTTACTTATTGGGGGAACATTGTCAAGGTAAGGGATCAATAAGTTGTCCATTTATTTTCTGATGGAAAATGTGAGCAATTAAAGTTTGTGTGTACAATAATTGTGAGAACATGGTAATATATCAGCATCACTTTTCAATATGTCACATGATATAACTGGTCCACTATATTGATAGAGGCCATGACTCTCTTAATTATGTCATATTATGCAAAAAATTCCAACCATTTTTGTTTCTACTGATTAAACCGACGTCGGATTTGTTATAAGAAAAAAAAAATAAAAATCGATTACGAAAATGGAGCAAGGCAGCTGCAAGAACACCATTTTAATGCCTAATAATGGTATGTAAATTATAGCCAGTCCGGTTGCTATCACCTCATCCACAGGCACATCACAGCCACAGAAGAAAGGCTAGATTTGAGTTTTCACTAATAACTACATAATCTAATAGATATTTTCAACAAAAAACATTTGAAACAAAAAAAAACAAAAACAAAAAACTAAGAAAAAGAGCAGAGAACCAAATAATAAAGTCTTTCAAAGATATATAATTGGAAGGTTAACAGTAATAATTAATACATATAAGGATATGGGATTAATGCAAATATAGCTGGGAAGGCTTTTATACATGGCAATTGAAATTAAGCATCACTGTGTTCTGTTGTATATAACTTCATGCAGAGAAGAAATGATGAAGAGAAAAAAATATGCAGGTGAAACTGAAAAACTACTCACCAGGAATTTCCCAAGGCTCGCACTTGTTGAGGTCAACTTCAATCATAAGGGTTGAGTCAGTCTGAGTCACCTTTTTTAGCAAATAGTCGCACACAAGCTCCTCATCTCTTGGATGGAACCTGAAACCAGGTGGCAACTTTGCCTCCACCATGCTTATGTTGCTCATTTTTTCTGTCTCTGAGAGAGAGAGAGAGAGAGAGAGAGAGAGAGAGAGAGAAGACAATTGGGATTAAGGGGCAGGGAAAAGGTTTTGTTGTGAGAGATCCCAATGCTCAAACAAAGATGGCAAGTGGGAGGGGGTATATATAATAAAAAATAAATAAGAGGGGAAAACAAAGGGGAGGTTAAGTCAACTAGTAATTCCGTGTGAAAGTTGAAATTATGGGGGTTTGAATAGCATAATTCTATATTTGGGTTCGCTCTCCCGATATTAAGAGCTTATTTGAGGCTGATTGTGAGATGGCTTCTGACAATCAATAGCGTTTGTATAAAAATGTAAAAGTATTTTTTGTCGTATAAATGATTTTTTTAGAACGCGCTTCTAATTCTATATGTTTTTTCATGAAGTATTTAAAATTTCAAAGTGATTTCTAATAAAAACGCTTATGAGCATAAGTACTTTTTATAAAACAATCACAAACGAGCTCTTAAGTTTAGATGACGAGAGAGTTTTAGGAGGAACAGATTAACTTGCCTACGTGTCGTGATGACATGGACAAACCAATCACTGCCAACTTGCTGATGTGTACATTAATAATTGGGGTGGGGTTGGGGGGGAATTCAGTCAGTAAATTTTGGTCCTCTGTTCTTTCCATCTTCTTCGAATTATTATTTTATGATTTTACATCAAAACTCTGGATAGAGAAAGAGAGCTAGAACTTGGCACTTGGCACCGCACCTGAACCAGCCAATCCGAAAATAGGCGGGCCCACTGTGATGACATTCTTTGCTTTTCTTTTCTTTTTTCTTTTTTAAATACCCAAACCCCAAACAATTCATGTAATTGATGTATTTTAGAAATTAGTTGTAGATAAGCTGGATTACATTAATCTTGATAAAGGCTTTTCAAGTTACCTTAGATGAAAGCATAAGAATCAGTTTAAATTACGCAGCGTGACAATTGATCGGCTAAAACCTTAACCTAAAATATGTAACTATGGAATTCATCAGGAAATATGAGAGAACCTTAGGTTTATTTGATAAACTGGAATAACAAAACATAATCCTAACTGAGGGTAAAGTAAGTTTAAATACTCCTAGAAACTCTAGGAATAACAAAGGAATTAAAATAGGAAAATAACAAAGTTCTCAAAAACAGTAAAAACTTTACAACCAAATTTCTGGCTAGTAAACGATATCGGATGCTTGAAAAAGCCCATACGACATGGCAAAGTATGAGTTTTACTCGTGACAGCATTCTCTTAGAATCAACTGGTCATGGGCCCAATTCTAAGCTCGGAGCCCAAATCTGCAGCTTACCTGATTTGCCTTTGTACGCACGTCGCTTCAGCTCCTCTTCAATTGCTTTCACCATCTGTTATAAATCATTAAAGAACAATTATTATTTGAGGGACACCCTTCATTGAGGGATCTCTCAAATAATTTTATTTTAGGGACACCTTTTAAGGTGCCTTACAACATTTTTTTCAACAATCAAAATCGTTTATTTTTCAAGTCTTTATTCATAGATCATCCTTGCAAAAAATCAGAAAAATTGAAAATAATTATGGCAAGCAACAAAAATAGATGAACATGATACTTCAAGAAAACACTAAAATAACAATAATCTAATTGAGCAGTCAAATGGTTTAAGATTCAAGTGATTTTTTTACAGATATGATCTTTGAGGGAATATCTAAAACTTAGACGTTTGGATTATTGAAAAACAATGTCTGATAGGTCCTACAAATGTGTCATTCAAATAAGCTTATTTGAGATATCCATCCATAGAAGCTTATTATATATATGCAAAGATAGGGACAATAATGAGGACATGAAAAATGATAAAGAAATTTAAACATGTATTAACTTTCAAGAACTGAGGCACGTTACATGGTTAAATTTTATATAGTAAATATTTGATTGTTGATGCCGTAATAAAATGGTCGAATAATTGGAAAGATATGCTGGACAATCCACCTATTCGCCCCAAAGGAATTTCATTATCTATATATATAAAGCAAAATGTAGAGAATGGTGAAACGTTCAAAATACCAGAAAATGCCCGTAGTTAATGCAAACATTAAGAATTGAAATTATTAATTAAATGAGGTTAATATGGTAAATTCACAATTTTTCATATTGAAAAAAATTAAAATTAAAAGAAAATTCAGATAATGGATCCTATTTTTATGGAACACAACTACCCATTATCTTTTTTAATTCTAAAATAAATTAAAATTTTTTTTTAAAAAAAGCATCTCGCAGGCGCGGAAGCGCGTGTGAAGAGGCTAGTATGATGAATGAAATTGTTGGAAATTGCATGGTTAATTAAGATTATTGTCCACGTAGTTATAGAGGATTAAAATATTGTTAGAAATTCCTACTTACTTATAATTAAATGATAATATAAAAAATTATTACGCGTAAAACTAATATACAATGTAAGGCATCATATCCTAGATTCGATTATTCTTTGTTTCTTTATTTATTTATTCATTGAGCTGTTATCCGGACTCTAAAATAATCATCTTACGGTTCTCTTTAATTTGATGAAGAAACAAATAAAGAAGAGAAGAGTGTGTGTATTATGACTATTTTGGAGTGTGAATAATAATTTCGGCCGTCTTTAAGTTTAGGGAAATATTATTTAGTCACAATGACAACTAATAATAATTTGATTGGCACAAAAATGAAAATATCACTCCTTTTGAATTGTTAGTGCAACTTTGTGAAGCTTGGAAAACATCATTAAAGCATCAAATTTGGAAAGTGGAAATGACAGGCATAAGTTGAAGTGTGAAAGAACCAATGGAAGGAGCTACTAATAAAGGCAGCTCAACTGTTTGAAGGCAACAAAACAAAAATCCACCACAGAAGAAAAATGACAAAAGCCACGAAAGAGACGGGCGTTAGAAAATTGCATCAAACTGATGTTTTAATCAGGTGGGCTCCTTGGGCTTATTTTCAGTGCAGAATTTGGGTAGGTAAATCGACTTCGGATTTCCTGTTCATATTTTTGTGTGCTGAAATGATCCATTTGATTTTTCTTCTTGACATGAACTCTAAGCCTATAACAAGGCTGTTTGGACATCACACACAGTACCAACACAGTAGAACCAGTTTGGGTCATTATCGTGTATATATTATTTGTGTCGATTTCTCTCCGCGCATGGGTATACTTTTCGTGACAGGTAACTTTCTCTCGTACAATTATGGTGCTTGTGCCACACAAGTACCAAACGCAAGGTACCCTCATGACAATCATTCATTCACAAGTCATGTTTCATTGTTCGAGTCCACAACGACTTCTGTACGAGAACATCTTAGGGTTAGGGTTTAGGCTTAAAACCATGCTGTTCGGACAGCAAACAGTACCAACGCACAAAATATAAGCAAATGGTTTTGTTTCATTACAATCGTACCAGTTTGGGTCGTTGAGTGTATACTTATTTGTGCATGTCTCTCTCAGCATGTGACATGAGTGCACACCTCGTGACATGTAAATTTCTCTAGTACCAGTATAGTGCTCATACCACAATTTCTATCGTACCAGTATAGTGCTCGTACCACACAAATGCCAGACGCAAGACACCCCCAGATAATCATTCATTCACTAGTCATGTCCAAGTCCACAACAACTTTTGTAACGATAAACACCTTCATGGGCCAGAATGAAACATAAGACATCATCTTCATTCCAAAGAGTTGTGTTCAACATTAGTGATACTTGGACCAAGTTCCACTGGATGGCTACTTTTCTTGTCGTTTTACTTGCAACAAAAAGGAAGCACTATCTGAAAACCCCATTAGAGTGTTGTGGGTTGTGACCATCCAGTCTGAATGTCCTACTCTTAAAAGGACAAAGACCAGTCAAAGCATTGACACGTGTCCCATCTCAATGGCATCCAAGTGTTGCTAAAACGACAATACCTTAAAATGGACAACCCAGGCTTGCTTATTCCATTAGAACTAAGCCATTGAATTGTGAAACTTTGTGCTCTAATGCAATGAGAGGCTCTCCACTTTCCACACACCTCCAAATCTTTATTTGTCCTTGGCAACGCTGCCGACAGAGCTTCCTTCAACGGATAATTACCGTGTTAACCTCATAAAGAAAAAGACAAAATTATCTCATAGGTATCAATGGGGATATTCACTCTTAAGTTTCTTAATACCCTGGATCTTTTAAGAGTAGTGATCATTCAGGAAATGGGTCAAAATAGGTACTAGGTGACAAAATGAATGCAGCCAAATAATGTGTCTTTCTCATTCCAGCAAGCCTACCATGACTTGTTGACCAGACTGTATTGAGTGGGCGCGGGCGCATGCGGATATGTTGCTACGGAATATACTCGGTTGCAAAATCCTCTCAAATCCCTTGAAATTCGCAATCAACGAATTGGCACCACAAGTTTCTGCATGCCAAAAATGGGAATGACTGATCATCAGATATACGAAACCTGACAACATACCCGCCAATGCACATATCACTTAAGATAGCATGCTGCCATAAAGATCTTGCGTATATGGTGAAAAACTAGGTGATGAAATAATAGTATCCTGTTGCATTATCCGATCATCAAAGTGAGATAAATACGAAGCTGCAAAAGAAGTCTCAGGCTACAAGAAAGAAAATATAACTGCAAGCAAAGTTGGCTAGCATTTACATGCCATTATAAAAAGTAAGAACCCTTTATCGCTATCAACCAATATTTCTTTTTCTTCCAGATAAAAAAAAGAAAGAAAGAAGTATCTTTCAAAAGATTACATAATTTTTTTGTCTTGTGGCATTAACTGACTTGAAGTTCATTGTTCCAATTTCCGAATTTTCAAGCTTTCATCATTTGGTTCAGATTTTTTTAACTAAATTCAGCAGGACACATACTTATGCCCGTCGGAGCTACATCCAGATTCAGATGTTAGAGAGACCTTCATTCAGAGAGACAACCTGAGGACTTCATCATTTGATGGCACTGTACAAAAAATTTCATTCAGAAAGTCAAGACTTGTTAATATGGAGAACTACATTCACTAGCAGCTATCAGTTTTTGACAACTTTTATCATGGAGACAGAAAATGAAGTGACATTTTAACAAGAAAGATCAGTCCTTCAATATGCAACATAGCATTGTTCACACACTCACATACACACACATGCATGCATGATACAGCAAAGGTAAGGGAGAAGGTAGGATAGAAGAAGACTTGATGGCTTACCATATGGCATGCCACAGTCATATTTGTGTCAACTTCTTAGCAATAATGGCCACATTCCTTGGGGACAATGCAGGATTGAAAACAGGTAATATGACTGCTTCAATTGAACTGCCTTGCTCTTGGAGGAACAACAATCTATCAAGCAAAAGAAAAGTTTCCAAAAGAGGCCCAAAAGCAGCTCGAAGAGACCAATAAGGTCCAATAAGTTCCTGTTGACCAAAAAAAAATGATAATAAAAATAATTGGTCAACAAGGTTAACAGATATCGTAAACTTATATATTTCTTTCAACAAAAAACAACAGCAGACATATCATGAAAAGAACTTGACACTTGACATACAGAAGTAATCAAGTGAAAGAAAAGTGGGCAGGGAGGGGAGAGGCGAAGGATGAAAAAAGAAAAAAAATGAAAATGAATTCCAACAACAATTTTTATTTATTTAGTTACTGATTTTTTGTGAGAACCACAATCATTAAATCATTTCTTTTGTGGATCCTAGAGTTCAAGTAAGAGCATAAACCATATGACTTCCGCATAATGTAAGCCCTATGCCAAAGGCTATGTTGTTTGCACACCAATAAAGAATGCTTTTCAATTCTAATCAAATATACAATAAAATCCTGTCATATACCACAAAATAAAGATAACTTTTTCTGACAAGATAAAAGTAAAAAGCATACATATAACTTTCATCAACTAAGAAGGTTCCAGAAAATGGAGACTCAAAAACACGATGGAGCAAGCAGTATTTTGGGATGCGAATAAACAAACAAATTTCATCAATGGATCGTATGAATAACCATTGTTAGCCAAGTACATGAGCTTCCAACATGAAGTACAGAATTTTTTATTTTTTAAGTAAAGCAAAAGTATCAGTGCGATTCTAGATAAATGGCATGAAGTAACATACAGCAAAAGATTCAACTTGCTTCCATATTCCATGGATATCAGTTTCCTTCAGAGGTTCAAGACCAAGGCGACACAGCCCAGATAAGCAATATTTCTGAAAAAGTGGATAGTTGCCGATGATTTCACTCCTCTCACATTTGGTGGCCTTATTGGAGGAGTTTTCATTAGTTATGGATGTTGTCTCTAACACGTCAAAACTGTCATCTGTCACATATGTTTATATAGTTATATGTTGCAATCTAATTAGTTCAGAAGTTCAAAATGTTGATGCAGCAGCTACAGTTGCCATAAAATAAGTACAGAGATTTCCTTTCAAATTAGTAATGTTTTGTTACCTGTTTCCAGCTCTGTTGATTTTTTGTGAGAGCAACTTCCTGTCATATGAGAGTTTATTTCAGACAAGGAACATTTGTTTTCTTTATGGTGCAGCGAGGAGTTTCGGACAACCCTCTGTTGTCGGCGACGTAATGCCTTCCCTTGACGCCCAATTGATGGACTTGTACTCATGACTTCGGGATAGTATACTCTGAGAACCTGCAGAAGACAGAGGATGTTATTTACACAGAGAGAGAGAGAGAGAGAGAGAGAGAGAGAGAGAGGAGAGAGAGAGAGAGAGGTTATAAGATAAAGGCAACATAGTAAATAATTGAAATAGTTTACAAATGTCCATAAATTCCCGGATGACTGTAAAGGTGAATTACTGCATACCATCTGAAATGCAGCGCGGAAAGCATGCAACTCAAAATTATGGAGACCAGCATCATTTTCGAGGCATTTCCACCTCTCCGCACTCTAACAAAGGCAAAGCAAAAACACAAGCTTATCTCAGAATAGAAAAGCCTTTGAGGAATAAACTAACTTAACACCTCCCCAAAGCACAAAAAGGATCCACCAGAAATTCCTTCTAGTTAACCTCCAACCCATGCTGTTGTCATTAGCCCCTTGGACTTTAGATCTATACAAATTAATAAAGAAAGAAATGACTTGCATATCCTCTCCAGTAATTTTTCAGATTTTTCTAAGAACTCAATAAAAATTTGAACCTTTAAAATAGTTTTATTCTCTTCACTTTTCTCTTTCAGTTGAACAAAGGCTTTCCCTGAACCTCCACACCTAAAACTGTATGGCAAAGGCCCAAGAGCCTTTTCTTATTGGTAATTGAAGTAACTAGAAATGAAACCTCACTACTCCTTTGAATGTCCATGTTCTGTTCCATAAACAAGACAAATACAAGAGAGCCCACACCCCTCCTTGGGGAGAGAAAGTGACAATGAGAGAGGAGGAAGAAAGTTGACGAGAACCAAGATTCACCTGACATGCTAGGTCCCGCGAACTTTTTCCGAGTGAAATGCCAGCAGATTTAACACCACAACTCATTGGAAAACCACATTGAGAACCAGCATGGTTGAAACCCTCTTCAGATAATAGGTTGTAACAGCAGCCGACACTAACAACTGCTTTAACTTCTTTGCATTCCATAAAGGTCCTGATGCAAAAAGGTATAAATAACTACATATCATTTCACATAAAAACTAAATTGACAGATAATAATATATGATATTGTAGAATACACATTACTAAAGACCAAACACATGCATTCTTGTGTTGGCTGCACTAGCCTACAGATATGACTCAAAACTTAGGTCAGATAAAACAGTAATAACAATTTATGGATTAAGTAGAACAAGAAGCAAGTAAATGCAAAGCCAAACTAGCATAATAAGAATTTGGACGAGGGTTAAGTGGTGCTAAAAAATTAATCTTGAATCAGTTATTCGAAAAGATGAGTGATCATAAGAAAAAGGATAGGACTAAAGAATAAAACTGGTCATTCAAGGATTAAAATATAGGTTTTTATAAATAAACAAATTTTAGCATGACATGTTATACATTTTCCCATATAGAGCCTATTTGGAGAGAACAACCCAAAACTAGTCACTCCCAATTGTCATTTTATAATTGGTTCTTAATGTTAATAATTTTGTAAGAACCAATTAGAAAATGACAAGTGGCTAGTTTTGGGTTTTTCTCTCCAGATAGGCTCTATAAGGGTATATAATATGTCATGTTGGAATGGGCCTATTTGTGGAAAGCCCTTTAAAATATGCAGCAACCATCAAAGAATCTACTAAGGTGAGAGTTATTTGACTAACAGAGCAAAGAAGATTAAAGGCCCAGATGTAACAAAAATAAAATTGATTGAGACTTATAAAATTTCAATACCATGGATAACTTGGATGTGAAGCCATTGTATGCAACCATTTTGTAGCCCCCTTTATACGGATAAACAAACTTATCATGATTTCACAATCAGCTATTCATTTTCTGTTTAACTCAAATTCCCATGTGGTGAGAAATAAATTTGGACATCACTTCATATATAATATATATCACCAATATTACACGACTTTCCACTTGTCTTATTGCAGGATGACATAATATTCATACCCAATCTATATATAGGCTGGTATTCAATAGATCATAACAGACTGTGTCAGGGTTTACAGTCATTCTATCCTCAAGTATACTCATTTTAAAAGAGAGAAATATAAGCTTTAAAGCACGCTGAGGAACTCACTTGAGCATTGTTACTGAAAGATCTCCGCAAGCATGAAGCCCAGCAAGAACCAATGAACTTCTGTTGTCTGCATTGCAGGAAGATTGCAGTAAAGAGACATTATCATTATGCAGTGGTGTGTCAGCCAAAGCTTTCAACATGTCAATAGACATCACATTGCATGTGACTGTCTTAGGCACAGTCAAACTCCTGTTTCCTGATCTAGCCCCAAAAAAAAAGTGTATCAAATATATTACTCGATCCAAGTCACCAATGAAGTTAAATTAAAAGCGCTAATTATATCATAGGATATGCGACAATAATGCCAAAAAGCAACATGAAGGAATTAATAAGTCTAACTTAAGGCAGCCTACATCCCTGAACAAATCACATACACCAAAAACTGCTAACCAATTCATGGAGACAAGAAAAACAGGAACTTCCAAAATTTATACACTCTATTCATTCCTCTCTGAGGTTTGTGATTCAGGTTGGCCAACAAAAAGATGCTGAGCATATGGCATGTGTTTTCTCTCTGTCCCATAAACAAATCTACAGAAAAAATAAAAAAGTAGATCAAATGTAGAACCTATGGAACAGGTTATTCCAAGGAATAAACTCCCAAGCGAAACCATCAAATTATTGTTCAACCCAGCATTCACCAATGTCATTTGAGCAACCGGAAACGACAGATCTCCTTATATGAAAAAGAAAAAAACAACAAACAAACAAACTAGAACAACAAGGAAAAAAAACAAGAAGGAAAAGAAGTTTACATACACAGATTTACGCATCTGAGCAGCATAATATTTCTTGATTTTTTCTGCACGAGTATCAGTAACCCTTCCATGATGAGAACATGCATCAATTGCAACTACCGCATGCTGATAGTGAAAGGAAAGTACTTGTGCAAGATACCCCTGAAAAAGTAATTTATTGAAAAATGGAAAATATTATAAAAGTTCTTAGTTGTGACTAATTCCTATCATCATACTTACAAGAAGAAAAAGAAAAGAAAAGAAAAAACATTTCCCACCATTATTTTCTCATTAATGAAATTTTCTAATCTATCTTTGCAAGAAAAAAATTATTTGTTTCTATCAAATGAAGTAGACAGTGATGAAATCTTAGGTTCCAGCTTAGCAATCTGGGTATAAGCGAAAGAGAATGAATGTAAACCAAACAAAAGAAGTGAAAACAGAGCAGATATTGTGGAAAAATTGATCACCACTTAAAAGAAAGCAGGACTACCTGACCCGAGCCAACATCAATGATTGCATTGGCTCCGACACTGTTAGCGATTGAATCAACAACAGCAGAAAGGACTTCTACCTGCACATACAAGATCATTTTTTCAATAGAATATCACTACACTCTAGATGTTCATTGTTCAAAAAGGAAAAAAGGAAGCTTTGAATCAGAAACTCCTATCTAAAAATCAAAGTCCAGTTTTTTCTGATCATAATGTTTCACAACACAAACACAGTGAAGCAATGGATTCATCTCTATTCAATGTTTTGAACAAGTGAACAACTTACTTCATGTTTTTTCTTCCAACTCATGCCTGTAGAGAGAACACTATTGAGTGAAGTCATGTTCATGCCAGGTAATACCTGCCATGTGGGAAGCAAAAGTACCATAAGGAAATGATATGTTGCAGTTCTATGAATTTCACTCTTCTGATTTTCCTTTTGCTCTGCCGATTCAATCTTATTAATATTATGGCAATAACTTTAAAGACTGTAAGTATACCGCAACAATTTTCATCTTATTCCATGATTCTGCATCTAAATTTTCACATAACTATAATGAGTTGTGGAGCTTTTCATGTTTCCTTACTATAACATTAGAATATCAAAATTCAAATGCGAAATCAAATGCAAGAGAAATTGAGAAACGAATCCACACCGTCTGCAAGTCTTGTTGTTGTCGAGGAAGCACGAGAGAGCTCAAAGTAACAATGAATTTCTTAAGAGAAGCAGGCCAATGATCCTAACCAGTGACCACCAAAAAAAAAATTCAAATTCATATCAAGCTACAAACAATGGCAACCAATTCAATCATTACCATCCACACACACACACACAAAAAGTAGCAAACGAGTACCTGGACCACTCCGCCAGGAATTTGGAGAAGATTTTCCACTGCTTCTTTCCGCAAGCAATCCATCCATTCCTTATCAATAGCTTCCCACATTCGATCCTGAAAAGCATTTTACTTTATCCGGATACTAATTTTGATTATTTTTCTGTCTAATGTTTTCTAGGCAGCCAAACACATGATTGAGGACTGAGGAGGAATTTAGAAATTTAGAAGAAAGAACGAACCTTGAAGAAATTGACGACGTGAGCGTCCGTTAAGAAAGAGTAAGGTCTTATGAAGTCGACGATGGCGTTGATCCATTCCAGGGTCTCGCTCGCAGTTTCGCACGAGTACTTGCAGCAGCCATTGCTAGACATTCTCTCAGCTTTCTAAGCAGACTCTGCCTTGTATGAGCACGAGAATAACTAATTAAATCCTTGACCGCAGATATCCTATTATTTTCTCCTTTAAAAAAAAAGAGAAATTAAACTGAAAAGGTTTGTGTAAATAAATAAATAAATTAATGATAAAGAGGGGCAAAAACCCCAGAAAATGTTTTCAAATATTTTTCTCTATATCTCCCCCCAAAACAAAATTGATCTATCAAAATAATATCCAGAATAACATAAAATTTTATTTCTATGTTTTTATTTAAATTGTAAAATAAATTCATGAAGATGACAGTCAAGTCCGCTACATTATGTTGGGATCATGTCATTTCATACTCAAGCCGAACATGGATCATCACCTAAATCTATTGGATTGTCTCAAACGCATTCTCTACTCATTTCACGCTAAGTATTAATATCAAAACAATTCTATTCAGAAATAGTTACAAAAATATGTTCCAACTCTTAATCATATTCTAGCATTGAATCAAGCAGATCAATATAGGAGTAGGGGTGGGTATCCATCTAGTCGATCCAATCAAATCGACGATTCAAATTGTAATGACCAGCTTAGTTCGGTTTTGACCAAGAAAAAAAAATCAAAAGGTTCAAAACCAAATCAAAGTGTAATGGTTTGGTCCGGTGCAGTTTTGAATTCTTCAAACGCGATATAAACCAAACTAGGGCGTATACTTGTATATTCATTTTTATTTTATGTTATTTTATATGTGTAGTCCTTTAATTAGATAAAAACTATGGTGTTGAATTTGAAGTTTGATGAAACTGTTAAATCATTGATATTTGAATTGTAACTATATTAGTTATTGGATTTTGAAGTTTTATGACATGTTGAATTTTAGAATGGTTTGACGTGCTACAAAATGCAAAATATGTGACAAGTTATGAATATTTTTTTTGTTGTAATCGGCCTAACAAAGTTGAAAAAATGGCTAACATGGTCTTGCCCATTAGAAAAGGACCTTAACTAGGTTTAAACCCCACATTGTGTGTGAGAGAAACCCCACCCCCTCTCCCCTCCCTAGGGACGGATAATAAGCATGACTAACCTGGGCTACAACCCAGGTGATTTTTTTTTTTCCAGCCTAAAAAAAAAATTATAGCACAACGAATCGAATAACCTACCCTCCCAAGGAATTTTCAAGTCTAATACGTGGACAACACATTTTGGGTGATGTGGAGCATGTGTGGCCTTTGAGCTTTCACACGTGGGCAACCCGCTTTGATATCATGAAGGAAGTTGAGGTTCCACCCCAAAACCAATTTGCAATTGGAGGAATAGCCCAACTCCTTAGAGCATCCACAATGGGAGGATGTAAATTCGGGGGTGTAAAGCCACTTTTACATCCCCTTTACACTTTTGGGGGGTGTAAATATGTTTTTTGCTCCAATGGGGGGTGTAAATTCCGGGGTGTAGCTGTGGGTCCTAGCCTTCTATGTTGACTTTTCTTCATTTTTCTTCTCTTTTCTCAGGTGGGTCCCGCTTGCAAGAGATGTAAAAATAGATGTAAATATACATTTTATTTTACATTCTCATGGTAGTGATGTATATTTACATCCTTTTACATCTCCTCATTGGAGACGATTCCGGTGACTCGGGGTGTATATTTAACATACACCTCCACTGTGGATGCTCTTATAAGAGCATCTCCACCCACAAGGGCTAAGTCTAAGGCAAGGGCAAGCAAGGGCTGCCACTATTCACGTGAATAGTGTCAGCCTTTGCATTTGTGGTTCCACCCATGAGGGCAAAGTCTAGGGCAAGTTTAAGGCAATTACTATTCATTGTACTTTATTTCCTATTTGTTTATACTTTAAACTATTAATTTTGATAAGCTTTTTAGATTATATTTTCGGTTGTCACGTGTCACTATTTATTATAAAATTTTCATTTAAAATTTAAGATAACATTTTTCGAATAAAATTTTCAAATAAAATTTTTGGATAAAATTTTCGGTTACCACGTGTCCATATTTATATAAAAAAAGACATTAAATTGAATAAAATTTTTTTTGATTATTTTTTGCCAAGATTTTGACATCTTCGAACGTTTGTCCGAACTGTACCCTCCGGCTTTGATGGAAGATGACATTTGTATTTTTGCACAAATGAAATTTTGTAGTACAAAATTTGGTGTGGAAAGTGAAAAATATTGGAAGGAGATGAGTTTTTATGAAGATTTGGTGTAGAAAGTGAATAAAATGGTTAGGTATTTATAGGGAAAAAATACAGAATTTTTTGGTATTTAAAAAAAAAATTCAGAATTTTTTTCGACTTTTTTTGGCCAAAAAAAAATTTTCTGTTTTACTGTGCGCTGACGTCACAAAACTCGGGCTTCAGCCCAGGCAGAAGTTGCCCTTGGGCTTGCTCGGGCTGATGGGACCCACCACGAAACCGGGCTGCTTCTCTTGCGCTGGAGCCATCTCGGGCTCGCCAGGGGGCCCTTTCCCCCAGTTTGGGTCCTGCGCTGGACCTGCTCTAAGCCCTTACAAGGTTTTCTAACTTTTTAATGTGGGATTTTTAACCTTCACATTCTCACAGTGCTCACACCCTTATATAAGAAACCGTGAAGGTTATTACCCCTCTCAACATTCATGCTGCTCATGAACATGCCTTATCAACTTTTAATACCTTTGATATTCTCCTAAAGGATGGGGTTAAATTGTTCGATAAAATGCCTCAAACAGAATAGTAATATAGGAACAAGCAATCAAAAAATGCTTTTAGAGCTTCTTCTTCATGCCTCAATGGAGAAAATTCATGGATATGCTACCCGTCGATGGCTCCCCATCATTCATTTATCCCACACTTAAAGAATTAGCTTAATGGATACACTTAAAAAGTAGAAATTGCTCCATGGCCAACGCCAATTTGACTATCTATAATGAACAATACAAATTTCCATCGTGATCACAAGTCTACATCTTCCCATTCGCCACCCGCATCTTTCTTCTGTGGTACAACCCCCTCCACACTCCTTTTTTCATTGCTTCTTTGAACACTTCACGATATCAAACTCAATACCTTTCTAAGCAGACAAAATATTCAACTTTTGTTTTCAAAGACTCCAAATCCATAACGTCAAGTTTCCCCTTGTGAGCTAGTGAGAGGAAAAACCTTGTTCATCTTATGCCTAAGATTTGATGTTTTGGACATGGGCATGAGATAAACACAAAAGATATTAATAAAGAGAGTAGTTAGTTGACTAGATTAGTTTGTCATTAGTTACTCTTTTAAGTAATTAGTTAGAGCTGTTGTAATAGCCTGTACAAGTGGCTTTATCTATTGTATAGAGTAGACAGATGTTAAATACTCTTCTGTAATCTTTTCTCAATTAATTAATGAGAATCACAATTTCCTTTAATTAACATGTCACCCCATTTGTTAACTAAATATATCTTACGAATTCATTAATAAATTACCGAACAAATCCATAAACAGTAATTCTAGGGGCACCATATCGTATCTCAACGGATTATAACAATATTTCATTTATTTAGATATCGATCTATTTTGCCAATTTTTTAATACAAAGTAATGCGATAAATAATATCACAATTATTTATCGGTTATAAATCAATAAAGTTTAAAATAGGTAATACATATGTGGATTAGGCTAGTTATCTAGGGAATTGACTTCGCTTCCTTGCATTCGAATTCGACCTTCTGCCCATAGATTAAATTAATTTTGAATAGTTTAGACTATCTTTGTAACGAAATTTATCTGACACCAAAACAAATCTTTAGATAGATTACAAAACAAGTCCTAATTCTAGGGCAGTAAATAGTATCCAAAATTATTGTATAATTTCCATACACGGTAAAACGAAAATGGAAGAAAGTAATTGTAGGTGTGGATTAACTAGAGATTTGATTTGATCATAAAAGAGCAATGGAAAAAACAAGACAGGGAGCCATTAAATATTAGATGAGAGAGAGAGCGACCTGGCCTCAAATAAAAATCAAGCATTTACACTTGTGCTATATATATATGTAGAGATCTCTGCATGTTCCGTATTCAAGGACACCAAGCAAACGAAACGCAACCCCCCCTCTCTCTCTCTCTGCGACTTCACACACTGATAACTCCCAAACCCTAAGGCGCCAACTCACTCTCTCTCTCTCTCTACAACTCTAGATCTCTTCCCCGCACCTCATTTTCTGGCAATGTGATCCTGACCCCAAACGCAGAACCACATTGTCGTTTTGATAACGCAGATGGCCTCGGCATGCGTCAACAACATCGGCATGTCGCCGGAGAAGTTTCCGCCGGCGACGTACCCGTCGTACGGATGGCTAAGCCCTAGAATCTCATTTAGCCGCGAGTTTCCAGACGAAGAAGCTTCGAAACTTGCCGGATCAAAGTCGTCGTCTCCGGCGAAGAACCTGCCTGCCGGTCCAGATCCGGAGACCTCCGCCGGCGAGTTTGAGTTCCGGCTCGAAGATCCGGTGGCAATGCTCCCTGCGGACGAGCTATTCTCCGGCGGGAAGCTCATGCCTCTCCAGTTCTCCTCGGTCAAAGCTACGGACCCGTCCTTGACGGAGATCAGATTGCCGGATACGGCCATGTATCACCGGAGACCCGAACTCTCCGGTGCCGACCCGTACCTGTTCTCTCCCAAGGCCCCCAGGTGTTCGAGTCGGTGGAGAGAGCTCTTGGGCCTAAAGAAGCTCTACCAGAACAGTAACCCCAACGGTCACGCGAAGAGCGAGGCTCAGAAAACGACGTCGTCGTCCTCGAGCACAAACGCGCCTAAATCTCTGAAGCATTTCCTTCACAGAAGCTCAAGGTCCCTGTCCTCTTCCTCTTCTTGCTCAGACGCTTCGCTGAGCTTGCCCCTGCTAAAAGACTCGGATTGCGAATCGGTCTCGATTTCGTCGCGCCTCTCTCTCTCGTCCTCCTCCTCGGGCCACGAGCACGAGGACTTGCCGCGACTCTCGCTGGATTCGGACAAACCGAACCTGAACCCGATCATTTCCATTCACCGAACCAACCCGAAACAGGCGCGGGTCCGGACGGTGAAGACTCGCGAAACGACGAAGCAGAGATCGCCGGCAGATCAGCCGAGGGTGGGCAGGAGCCCGATGAGACGGCCGGTGGGGGAATCGGTTACAGTCGCGAGCAGGGGCGTATCGGTGGACTCGCCGAGAATGAACTCATCTGGAAAAATCGTGTTTCAGAGCTTGGAGCGGAGCTCCAGTAGCCCGAGTAGCTTCAACGGTGGGCCCAGGCTGAAACACAGAGGCATGGAGCGTTCCTACTCGGCCAACGTCAGAGTGACGCCGGTTCTCAACGTTCCGGTCTGTTCGCTTCGCGGGTCGTCCAAGTCGGGGTCGGTTTTCGGGTTCGGGCAGCTGTTCTCCGCCCCGCAGAAGAAGGAAGGGAACAGCGCCGTTTCAGGCCACAACCGGAGCCAACACAGTCATTATAGTCACCATAGTCAAAGTAAGAACCGGAGTGACCGAACCTGAATCGGAAATTGGGTACTGTTTTTGACGGCGTCGTTTCGTTCCTCTGTTTACCGTTGTGTATGTAAATATGCGGCAGATCCTGATGTCTCTGTGGTTGTTGTCGTTTGTTATTTGTTAGGCTATGCGCTCTAATGGTAGAGGCTGTAGAGCTAAAACGTAATGTCGTTAGGCTTGGTAGGACTTCGCTTCTTCTTCTTCTTCACGTCGAATCTGTCTGTCTGTGACCATCTCTGACTGTGACTGTGGGTGTTTGTTTGGCACGCGCTCCGGGAGCCCGTAGGACCTGCAATTAGGCTGTGCAACTGCAACAATCAACATGTTGAGCTTATCCATGTATTTTTTTTTTTAATCTAATTTTTATTAAAGTGGCATTATTTTTGTGACTGGGAAGTGCGTAGTTTGGGAAATGATGCCAAGATTCAAATGGACGCGCCAGCTCTGATGAGTTTCTTATTTTTTGCATGTCAGTCAGGCTCCTTTTTGTTTTAGAGTTAATATTCTGAGGATATTAATATTAGTATTAAGTAGCTCTTGTGGTGGTGTATTAATGGGTCGGTGGACCACATGTGATCCAAAGATCTATTATTGTTAGGCTTTATAGCCTTCAACAGTTGAACATTTTACATGCAATTAGCAAAGGGTAATGATTTCCCCACTTCAATTTTATCCATTTACATCTTTTTTTTTAGTTATAAAATGAAGTGTAAATGGATAAAATTGGAGTGAGAAAATCACCTCTTAGAAAAAGACTAGTTTTAAATAAGTACTTTTCTACAGTTTTTTTGGGTACCAAGGACATTCTACTTTATTTTAAGCTCAACATAAATGAATATGATCATTTGAAGCTGAACTACTTAGGCCAGTTCATCAGGAATGGGTTAGGTCAGTTGGTCAAGACTGGATTAAGCTAGTTGGCTAGGGCAATGAGCCTACCTCTTTGCACTCAAGTTTGAATATTCCTTTTTGTAAATTAAATTAATTTAGAGTAATTGGGGTGTGTATTTAATTTATACAAACTTTTAAAAAGTCTATAACAGTTTGGGTGTATTCAATCTAGACTTATTTGAACTTTTAAAATGTCCATATGAATGTGGGTGTATTCAATTAGGACTTGGAAAAAGTCCAAATAAATTTATTTGTATTAAAAAGGAGATAGATTTGGAAGGATTTAATTAAGTGTTGGAGTTTGGAGAATTTGTAGGGTTTAGGTATAAATAATAAAGGCCAACATAAGTCAAACCTCCACCCCAATGATTTCATACGACGTGTTTTTTTTTCTCTCTCTGTGTTAGGAAATTTTTCATCGTTTGGCCACTGACCTTGGGTGGTTACAAGCATCCTGTATTAAGCAAAGCTCATCCATTGGTGATTTCTTCAAATCAACCAGTTGGACGGAAGGTTGAGATATATTTCCATCACCCATAACACTACCAGATGATAGGGCCCTTGCTTTTTGGACAAAGGGTTGTTTTTTTTTGAAAAAAATAATTGAATTTTTGGATGAAGAGTTTACTGTTCGTGAACAAAATCAAAGGGAAATTTCCAACTCGTGGAAATTTCAAAGGGAAATTCATTGTTTAGGTATAAAAGTTTCCAACTCGTGAAAATTTTAAAGGGAATTCATTGTTTAGGTATGCAAGTTTCCAACTCATGGAAATTTCAAAGGGAAATTCATTGTTGTGCACACAAGTAGAGGAAGAATTTGGGAAAAAAAAGGGATGGTCGACTAGTGGCTAGGTCAAGATAGTTTAAAGAAAATAGTGTTGGGAAGAAAGAGTGATAAAAGAAAATAGTATTGGGAAGTCTATGCAAATATATTTGAATCTATAACAAAAGTTCATACAAAAGTATGGAAGTCTATAATAAAAGCCTGTACAAGTTTATTAAAAACCGGGTAAAACCTATCGGCGTTATACAATTCCAGAAAATCTGTCACTTAAAAAAAAACTTTCAAAATCGTATACAATTCTAATTGAATACACCCCTTAGACTATTGATTTGTGAAGGAGATAGGACTTATCTCCTCATTTGTATAAGCATGAGTCCCACTTGCATCACTTTACATTATCCAATGACCATCATAGTATTCACGATCATAGACTCATCACGAAAATTATAGATCTAATCAGTTATATAATTATCTGTGAATCTCCCTCGTTATGTGATTAGTCATGTGATGAGAATGATAGACACATGATTGTGCACAGCCTGTCAAAAATCATAATTATTAATTGGTTACATACAACTATGTTTGTGTATCTCTCTCGTTGAATGACGAGTCATGTAACGACAGTGATAGACGTACAATTAGGCGAAATCATAGGTGTAATCGGTTGCATACAAATGTGTGTGTATTTACATGGACCAAAGTTTTCTTTGCATTATTGGGCAGGAAATTTCCTTGTTTTGGACTTATTATATTGGAAATGGGTAGAGAGAAATGCTTTTATATGCTAAGAAAACTTAAAAGAGTTCATATCCCAACTAAAAGTAGTATCAAAATGGTGCAAAGATAATACAATATTCTACAAGCTAAAACCCTAAGAAATGAGGTCGTTTAAATTCTATGAAGTTTTCTAAGCATAAACTCTCATCATCTATAGCTTGCATTCCCATAGCATTGGCAGCCTAACAAGTAAGCCTTCGCAAGATTAAAAGCTGAGGCTGGTCCTTTTCCAGTTGAAGGACATGACAGACTAGGGCGGTGATATAGCCTTAGCTTGGAATCTTTTTTGGGTTCAGAAGGTGGCTTTAGATCCCTCCCCCACCCAACCCTATTGAAATGCCTCTGAGTCTAGCTTTTATTTTATCAGATATTCCCTGTTATTTTCTTCTGTGTTATTGTTTGTTCCCGGATTTTTAGATTTTGAATGATGTGGGTGTTTGTTTGTTTGACCAGGAGGACTCGCCGGCCTTCTTGGGACCTATCTTTTCTGTCTCGTATGAGCTTTGCCTGCCTTCCTGCCTTTTACTCTTGTGACAACTTGAAGTGGGTGCACCCCCACTTGCACTTCTTCATTATTGATTGGAACAAAATTTTCCACGGAATAAGTTTTGGTTGCCAATTGAGATTAATGATCAACATTTAGGTTTTGTTTGTTGACATAATTGATTATTTAAGCTACAGAATGACTCTTTTAAAGATAAAATTTTAGGGAAGTTGAGACTTAAAACCTAAAATGTTTTTGTCAACTGATCTAATTCACGTCTGTTAAAATAATGATTTTAAACATATACAAGATTAGACAAAACTCTAAACTCCGAACTCGTACGTATCTTGGATTTGCACGTTGGACACTTGTAAGGTGCCCACAAGCCCTACAAGGCCAATCTTATCTTTCTTGCCTAATTAGGGCCATGTACACATCAACAATAACATTGTTAATTGACAAATATTTTTGCAGTCTAGAATAGGCAGATATTTTCTTATTTGGCAAGATAAGTTATTGTTTAGAAATTAAATGTGTAATTGAGATTGATTATCGAACACCAACGACATCTATTCCCAATGTAGGGTTCTAAACCGATGGCCCATCCATTTTAGCAGACTCTGAATTTGGCCAAATCTTCATAATTGAACAAGTCCTTCCATCATGCCCATTTAATTCAGACAGGATGGGGTTTGTTGATGGCTTTGGGGATTAACTTGATGTCGATGAAAGCTGAAAAGTGCATTTGTCAAGTGATTTATCGTATGAATTTTACTTTTTAGTTATAAACCGACAGCCTATCATTCATATCTTTTTGGTGAAACAAAGGTACTCAAAATTTATCTTTCTTTTTTCGAAGATTGACAAATATCGCAAGAAGAGGCTGTGATATTGCAAAAGAAGAAAGGTTGGAAATGGAGAATCAAAGAAAGAACGTGGTAATGGTCAGTCATACCTCTGAGCAGATTCCCCGTCTCCCAATCCCTTTCAAAGCCTATCACGCATTATTATATCGGAAAATTGCATTGTCATATTGGAAAGTTAAAATACATAGTAATGGATGAATGACTCAGAATAGCGTCACAATGGTAGCCTAATATAGGTAAGTTTTTCTCGCTGAGTAGGGCTCTCTCTAAGAAGAAAAACTTTCATGCAACGGAAATAAATTTTTTTGTTATTCCTAACCAATAACACACGAAATAATTTTTCAAATTATGATTACATTATTAGCTGGATATAGCAAAATAATATTACAAAAAAGTTTTCCTTCTCTAGAGAGAAGGGAAGTTTGTAGGGTAGGGTTGGGGAAATTGTAGGGTAGGTTCTTTTGGGTTTGGGGGGGGTGATGTGGCCCTCCAGGGAGGGCCAAAATTTTATGGTGGCTGACTTGGAAATATTCCTGTCCTTATCTCGGTTGCTCTAATAACATGACCTTAAGATTCACAACCCTATTCGTCTGTTCATACAATTTAGTACACAGTAAGTGTGGGGGCATGTGAACACTACTCGAGGTCACATCATCGTATCTATTCCACTTCACTTGAGGGGGTTGAGAGATGGATGGATGTGTTTTGTTATCGTATGATTAGTGTCCAATGTCCATGTATATATAATATATGGATTCCACGCTCTTTTCCCTCTCTTTATCAGTTTTTATCATTTTTTTATAATAATTTGCACATATAGTTGATAATTCTTAGTTAACAGGTATGTCTCTCCAAAATACAAACGGGATCGAATTTAGGTGTAAAGAGGCGAGCATATCGTCCTTTGTGTTGAACTGATCTAACTCACATTTGTAATTATGTTTTAAGTTGGAAACAAATTCTAAACATAATTTTTTTTTATATACCAACATAATCCCTGGGCCCATATATACAGTTCCTTCGTGTGTGTGTATAGATAATCAAAATGTTGTAACGGTTAAATTTTTGAATAATCCAAAAATGCCATTGTTTCAGAAAAAAACAATAAGTAAAAACACAAGCACTATATTTTAAAAGGACAAGTATGCAAAACAATAGTAGATGTTTTTTTGGAGAGAAAATGATAATACATTCAACCTAAATA